CGCGCGCGCTTGGGGGAGATGGGCGAGGTCCCTGCCAGATGATGCCGCGCGGGCCAGTCGCGCCCGTCGGCCGCGCGCGCATGTTAAAATCTTCCCAACACCTTCATCGCTGATGCGTGGGCGCAATCATGGTCATCGGTCCCGCCGTTGGCCGCGCCGACGTCACGGCCGTCGTCGTCGCCACCAACGTCGCTAGAGTCAACGTCGCGCCGCCCGGTGCCGACGTCGCCATGAGGCCGCGCCCGCCCGAGTCGCCGACTCGCACTGGAGTGCCCGCGCGGGCCAGCGCGGCCTCCGAGACGCACCTGCAAAAGCCGAGCGGTCAGCGACACCGCGGCGCGTCGGTCGCGCCAGAAAAGCTGGCCACTCTGCGCGCGAGCCTGCGCGCGCTTGCGCGGCTGCGGCGATGCGCCGGGCTGCGCCGCGCAGTCATCGCAATCGCCGCAGCTTGAGTTTTGCAATCTAAACTGCGGGTCGACGGGTGCGATGCTTGCGCGAGCAAAAGGATGGCGCCTTCAGGTTCGGCAGAACGAATTGCGCCGCGCACATTGCGCCGCGTCGTTTTTTTTGTTTTTTGCAACGTCGGCCCCGCCGCGTCGACTGCACAGCGTAGATTGCCAGAAACGCGCGGGTTGGAATCCTCGCGGGCGAGCGTATATGTTTACGCGTATGAATATAGATACAGATACGACGCATATATACATGTCGGTGTCGCGGTCTTTACGTGTACAGTACCACGTATGTCACGTGAGCGCAGACGCATGTATATGGAGTGCGTAAAGCGATGCGGACATTTATAACCATATATACATATTGATGCACCTACGTATGTATGTATCTACATCTATGTATATGTATGCACATATGAATATATATAAATATGTGTGTGTGTGAAAATGCATGTACGCACCCGTGCATCTATATATATATATATATATATATATATACACAGTACGCATACACATGCATTAATGCACATGACCGATCCGGCCCTCCTTCGCCAGGCGAGCTGGGGAATGCCGCGTCAGCCTGGCACCGGCGAAGAAGTTGCGGGCGGGGGTGATTCGCAGTATCTGGTGAACGCGAGACCCCCGCTTGGTTTGCGATTGTCTTGGACGCGCACCTACTTCGCTCTGCGTGGACCCGCGCCCGCTTCGCATCCAATTCGCTGGCGTGCATTTTGAGGCCCCGCGCGCCATGTATTCGGATGGCGTTTCGGCGTTGCTTCTTCTTCTTCTTCTTCGCATGTGGCGCGCGCGGCAACCGTGGTTGCGTCGCGCCCGTGTCCGCCGCGAGTTGCAGCTGATGTGTGCTTGGTTATGTGAGTTCAGCGCGTTGCTCCATGCTTGGTTCGCGACTCATTGGCGAATGCTCTGCAGGTAGGCGATGCGCCCCGGACGAACTCGCTCCAAACTTGCCAAATCTGTCGTTGCGTTCGAATTTCCCACGGTTTGCACTGCATTCGCCGTGAACTGGCACGTCGCGCGCCGCGCGGTGAATCCTTTGGAATTGCGTCGTTCGCACTCAACTTGCAAGTGGTTCGCGCGTGTCTCGCAACCCTTTGGACGCGGGTGGAAATGGGCAGCCGCGGGGGGGTGGGGGGGCAGAGGGGCCAACGCTTTCAATCGTATCTGCTTCGCATTGGATCCGCGCCTATCGCGCGAGACTCACCCTTTCTCTCGGCAGCCCTGCGCGCGGCGTCTGAGGTTGCCCGCCGCCGCTCGCGGCCTCGCGCGACGGGGGCGTCGCCGAGCGGGCGGGTGGCGGCGCGCGGGGGGGCGCGCGGCGCGCGGGGTCCATATTGGATCGACCGGCCAATCGCACGCACAGGGACGGGTAGCAAGGGGGGAACTGGGAAGGGAAGGCAAAGCCCAAGAAAGTGGAGGCTCAACACGACGAGCGAGAAATTCAAAGGACGCCCGAGGTCAATGCGGCGGCGCGCGGCCGCGCAGGGTGGGAGGCGGGGGGGTCGCCCGCCGCGCGGCCGAGCGCGCCAGCGCGGGCAGCCGAGGGTGGCCGGGCGCAGGGGGTCCAGCGAGATGAAAGCCGCGAGGGCCGCGCAGCGCAGGCACGCCGCCCAGGGATCTGCGGAGGCGAGGCCCCCAACCAGGGGGAGGGGGTCCGAGTGGGGCGCGGCGCGAGCTGGGGGCGACGCGTCACTTCGCCAGACGGTCCAACGGCGCCAGCGCCCAGACAGGCGGGGCCGGCGCAGGTGGAAAGGCAAATCGACGCCAAAGCGACGCGCCGGCGAGTGCTGGCCGAAACAGGTCACGCGAGGGCCCGCGCTTGCCCGAGCTCGGCCCGTCGCCTGAAGCCGGAGGCGCGGGCGGTGGCTCCCACTCCTCAGTGGCGCTCACGATGAAGGAGCAGCCGAATAAGCATAGGGGTCCGATTAGGACTCGCCGATCACTGCGGGCACGTTGTCGTGGGTCCAGTCCCACAATGCGAGGGCGGCCTGGCGGGCAGCGGGGGCGCCAGAGGCTCGCGTGGCGTCCAGCTGGGCGTTTGGTCCCAGCTGGGCACAATCCACAGCCGGCCCCCGAGGAGTGGGGGCGGGCGCAAGAGGGGTGGGAGCAGGTCGTTTGGTTGAGGGCGCGTTGCCTGCGGTCGCATCCGCGTGAGCGCTGGGGCGGCGCGCCCTCGCTGGATGGCGCCCCCGAGCTCGCAGCACCAGGGCTGGGGGGGTGGGCGCTGCCTGTTGAGCAGCGGAGGGAGGCCGCGCAAGCGCGTCTGCGAGCGGCCTGGCAAAATCGCACGTCCTCCCGCGAGTGGGTGTGCGAACTGCACGCTGGGAAGCGGACTTCGGTAGGGGGGCAGCTTCCAGCCGCCTTGTGGGGCGGGGGCCTGGGCCGGGGGGGCGCGTGCGTCCGGTCCTCCGGGGTGCCGGCACGGCGCCCCCGGCGGCGTCTGGTGGCCGGCGGGCCTTCCGGGCGGCGCTCGTCGGGGCACCTGCGCCCCCCGTGCCTCTGGCGGTCGCTAGACTCTAGCCGCTGGACCGCGACTGCCTGCGGGGCCGTGGTGGCGGCGGTGGGACGAGGGGCGGCGTCCACTGTACTCGCGGACAGACCCTGCCACACGCGGCGGTGAGTGAGGACCTCGTCTGGCGAGCGGCCAGCCGATGCAGCCATATGCTCCAGTCCGCAACAGCAAGCTTGGGGCGCAGTGCGTCTCCGATGTGGGAGGGAAGCCGAGAGGACCTGGCAGGCGGCGTGGATCCGACGCGGTCCGCCCACCGCCGGCCCAAGAGATCCGCGCGGACCTCGGAGAAGATATGGTTACGCCGCGATGCGCCTGCTGACGCAGCGGCATTCGCGCGCACGGTCTTTCACGTGCGACATCACGCGCGCGACGCGGGCGCCAGGCTCGAGGCTCGATTGCCCGGTTGGGGGCCCCAGAGAGACTTCGCCACGGTGGCCCCAGGTCCGATGGGACCCTTTCTGATCGCCCAGTGCTGGCAGGAGGAGCAACGAAACGTGTGCACGTCAGGGTATGGCGGGCAGTTCGTTTCAGGTTGCGCCTCGCCCCACAGGCGGTCGTTGGAAAAGGGACGCAGAAACATCCAACGAGGGCGATTTTCCGCTTCTTCGGATCGCGATGGGGCTTGCCCCAAAGGATGACCAGGTGGCCGACAACGCAGTGGCTTTCAAGGCGAAAGCCTGTGCCACCGCCCCTTCTTGCGGCGAGGACGAAAGGAGAAGCGGCCACCCAGAACTCGGGACCAAAACTACCAGTCTGCACGCAGCATTTTTGGGACCAAGGTGCGAGAGATGCCCACGTGCTCTAGAGGGGCTCCCCTGAACCCAAACACGGTCCGAAGTCAACGCGAACACAGGTTTGTCTTAACACGCGAAGGCGTCGTGCGTGGAAGGACCGGCTAGGGAAGGCAGTTGTCGAAACTCCCAGCGACAGCTTTAACCAAATGCCTTTCTACCACGAATGATTCGCAAGGGCCAGGTCCTTGGGGAGGGCGTTTCCCATCTAACGCCATCACTGCGAAACATAATCGTGTCTTGATTTGGTGTTAGCTGGCCATGCACTGCGCATGCCACAATAACTTGGCTCAATTACTGCCATCAAACTGGAACGGGCGTCTGATAGTGACTTCCACAATGCCAGTCATGGGCAACTGCATCTTGTGCCCCCGCCTGGAGACCGGCTTTGACCTCGAAGCTGACCGCCTAAGGCCGAAATCGAGGAAAACGCTAATACTGGGACAAAAAGGGAAACGTCGGTTACACTGCATCTTCAGAGGCCTCCCAAATGGGGTCCGAGTAGATGTGGTCGGAGGATCTCGCCGCATCGCCGATACATCGGCGATGCATCGCCAATGCGTCGGCGACGCAGCGGCCATGCACTTGCGACGTTGGCGGTACATCCGCGACGTCGGCGCGGAGAGAACTGGGCCCCACATCGAGCCGCATCGCCGATGCATCGCCGATGCATCGCCGATGCGTCGCCGATGCATCGGCGGTGCGGCGCGATCCTCCGACCCAATCTGCTCCGACCCCATCCAGGAGGCCTTCAGGACTTTTGGGGGGACCTCGTCTGCCTCGTCGGGCCAGCCGTCCAGGCCCCGCATCCAGGTCGCATCCATGCTGGACGCCTCGGGCCCGTGTCGAATCCGCGCAGAACCCACGTTGGAGTACAGGAGGACACTGCCGCTTACAAGACAGGAGAAGCCCCCCCGAGGATGCAACGCGACGTCGGAAGTCGCATGGCCCAGACCCCCGACGTAGTGTTTTTTATATAATTTGTTTTCATGACGTCGACCCCAAAAACCTCGACCCCTTCCACAGGACTGGTTTCTCATCCTGAGTTGTTTTGTGACCATCCCGAGGCCCGGTAACGACCCCCGGAGGCCGAAAATACAGAAAAAACCTCCCGTCGTGATTTTTCTTACAGCGCGAGGGGGTCTGGGCTTCGAGGCAGCCTCACGGTGGGCATCTCGCCCGCAGCCCCGGCTGACATGCCGTGGCAACTGCCCCGGCGCAGGGCCCATCCTGGCAGGAGTGCCCGGCGCGCCGCCTGCCTGGCCGCCTCGGAGCGGTGGAGGGACGCTATGTGTGTGTGCGCGGAGAGAGGGAAAGAGAGAGAGAGAGCGAGAGAGTTACCAAGGAAAACAAGAAGACATAGAGGAAGAGAGAGAGAGAGACAGAGAGGAAAAGAGGGATAGACGAGAGACGAGAGAGAGAGAGCCCAGAGATGGAGAGGAAGAGAAGAGACAGAGAAAGAGGGAGACAAACAAAACGACCTATATATATATAAGAGGGAGAGAGCGAGAGCGACAATATATAAGTGATGCACAGAGAGAGAGAGTGATATAGAGAAAGAGAGAGAGAGAGAGAGAGAGAGAGAAAGAAAGAAAGACAGAGAGCAGCCAGAACCAAGTACAAACAGAGGGCAACTGGGTTGTGGACGGGCACTATAATGATCGAGCAAGTTGGAGATGCAGATGCGCCTGCTTTGCAGGCTGGAAGAGCAAAGGATCCACCATGGCGCTGTGCAGAGGCTGGCGTGCGTCAAGTCCCCTTGTCTTCGTTTTTGGCTTCGCTTCTTGCGAGGTAGCAGTGCCACAACTCGCTCGCTCACCATAGCGAGCCCAAGTTGCGTCAAGTTGTGGGTCCAGGCGCACCATGTCTTTCCACAAGTAGAACCAGCCAACAACATGATTCCATGCTACGGGAGGACGTCGAGCCTTCCCTCTACCCTCCGCCGAACACCCTCTCCCGCACAACGCGGTGGCTTCTATACGCAGAGGCCTCTGCCCAAATGAATACAAATATGAGGGAGGGGCACCGTGTTGGCGGGACAGCAGGAGTGAGGGCAGGCAGGACTGACAGGACGGGAAGGGACGAGAGGAAACGCTCGAGAAAGAAACTGTTGGGAAGAAGGGACCTACATGTGTCATGGAGGGAAGAATGGAGAAAGAGAGAGAGAGAGAGAGAGAGAGGGAGAGGGAGATCTATGACGTTCCGGCCACGCCTCGGGCCATGGGAAAAAACAGCCAGGCCCCACGACAGGGCAAAAGACGCCCTCCCTCCGGGCAACGGCAGTCGCACGGTCCACATGCGACGAGTTCGAGAGAGGAGCTCGAGCAAGTGCATGCACCATGTTCGAGAACATGCGCCCAGGCCCCGCCTTGCCCGGACAGAAAAGGAAGACGTCGCATGGCAACAATAAACAACTCATATCAACAAGATAAACTGCCTCAAACATTACCCACATTGTACGCTTAATTCGTTCGGCGGATGTCACTGACAAGGGGAAAATGGGTCAAGTGCTTATTGTTTACGCGGTCACATAGGATATCCACATGCTCGGGTGCATACTCCTTGGATCTGTACATATGTGTGTGAATGAGAGAGCGCGTCCAGAGGGCCAGAGCAACGGAGGGGGCCCCCCTTGGCTACCCACCCTCCCTCGGACCCTCCCTTTCCCTCATTGTTCTTCGAATGTGGTTCGAAACCGACAACGGCCGCTGCAGGGCAGGCACCTGTCTGCCTCAAAATAGGTAAAGCCTGCGTTGATGCCGACAACAAGTCCTTTTCGGAATGGATAGAAACTGCCGCCAATCTTCGTGCCCATTCTTCCAGTCATTAGCCGTTTGGCCGAATTCATTTTGTAACGTTGCCAACTTGCGGCAGCCACGCACCCGTGTTGGCGGGCATGGCTTGTGACCCCTGCCGGGGGCCCCCCGGGAGCCCCACGAGGCTCGTGTGAACCCATGTTGGCTCCGTGACCCCCACGGGAATGCGTGACCCCGTGTTGGCCATGGCCGCCGCTCCGGCACAGAGCCCTCGTGGCGCGAAAACAACGGACGGCGTCGGCTACACGCAAAGAGCGTCCCTGGGCAAGGGGGGGCCGTTCGGGGAAACCACCAGGCGCGCAAGCCGCTGCCATCGCATCGCATTCAGCGATCGGGCGGCCCCATTGAGCCCGCATCGAAGGTCACTCCGGCGAAGGAAGACAGTCGACAAATATTCAAACATTGCCAACAAGAGCCGAAACATCGTCCTCAGACTTTTGTCTTAACCATGTCTGAATATGCCCCACTTCAGAGGAACGTGCCCGACTTGAAAATAGCCGACGGCGGCCCATACCGAAACACGGGCCCAGCCTCCACGCCGGCCGCGCACAGCTCCGCTGGCGGAGGCGCGAGCGCGCCGCCGCTGCCCGCAAGCGTCTGCTGCGGCTTCGCCGCCTGCCGGGTGCCGCGCGCGCGCGGCGCTCGCGCGCGCGCGGCAGGGCACAGCGGGTGGGCTCCACTCGCGTCCTCCAGGGAGGGCGAAGCTAGGACAAGGACAACATCGGGCGACGGTAAGTCGGGAATCTCTAAGACCCGGCGGCTCCGGAAGATGTCTCGGGCGCCGCGGCCTTCTGAGAGCGTTCCCGAACGCTCTGGAACGGATACTTATCCTCATCCTAGCCCCGCCCGCCCAGGGCTCCAACGTCGTGTGCGTGTTTGCATCCTGGTTGACAGGGGATATGTCGACCCCTATCCGAGGCTTCGTGGGGTTTTCGGATGGGCCATCAATTGGGGCTCAATCTGGGATATACGATGGGGTGGCGTCCATCCTCGACAGGGGTGCGTCCAAATAGCCCCCTGGGGGTGTATCCAACGGGTTCCCTCCTTTCTGAGCGGCTTCATTTTTCCTCGAAAGGTGGAGGGTTGGGGGAGAAAAATCGCATGCGACTGGTGTTAGCCCGCTCCCCTTCCCACTTCTTTCTCATTGCGTCAACTGGAAGTACCTTGCGCCAACAGGAAGGAAGGTACAAGCGGCACCAAGCAACAATGGAACCGAGCGACAGAGGAACCGGTACTCCACCGTGCAAGCAATGCTTTTGGAGGCCTCTAATATAGGGTCGGAGTAGATGGTGTCGAAAAATCGCGGTTCATCGCCGATGCATCACCGATACATCGGCGATGCATCGGCTACGTCGGCGATGTATCGGCGACGTTGGCGTGAAGAATTTCGGGCTCCACATCGAGCCGCATGGCCGATGCATCACCGATACATCGCTCATGCATCGCCGATACATCGGCGATGCAACGCGATCCTTCGACCCCGTCTGCTCTGGGAGGCCTAGAATGTTGCATCCTGGATTTTTCCCTGGATGTCGGCCCTCATACGGGCCGTTTCGGAACTCGGGGCCGTCAACGAAAACTGCCCGGGCGAGAAACTGCTCCACGAGAGCGGGTCGAAAGTTCTGGGGGCCGCGCATTGAGAACGACGGCGGCGGTCTGGGTAACAGCAGCGTTCTCGAATACTTCTCGGAAGCATGTGTGCAGACATTCTCCCGCAGGCGAGCCCCGACCACGCGATCTGCACGGCTCCTGATCAATCTCTTTGTAACCAGCCACAAACGGAACTGAATCTGTTATCCGTCACACAAGGAATCAATGTGTACTCCGCCACACAGAGAATCAAGTTCTTATCCGTCACAAAAGCAATCAATGTGTACTCTGCCCTAAAAGGGGAATAAATGTGCAACCCGCCAAAAAAAGAAAGCAATGTGTAGTCCGCCAAAAAGAAAATCAATCTGTATTCCGCCACAAAGCGAATCAAGGTGTAATCCGCCACAAGGGAAATCAATGTGTACCCCGCCACAAAGGGGAATCGGTTTGTAACCCGCCACGAAGAAAACAACGTGTAACCCGCCACAGAGGGCATGAATGTGCACCCCACCACAACACGGAATCGATGTGTAACCCGCCAGCAAAAAATCAATGTGTAATCTGCCACAAAGACAAACACAGTGTACTCCGCCACAAAAGAAATTCATGTATAATCCGCCACAAAGGGAATCGACTTGTAACCCGCCGCAACATGAAGTCAAGTTTCAACCAGCCACGAAAGGCATCAATCTGTAACCCGCCACACAAAAACAATTCGTAACCCGCCACAAAAGAAATCAACTTGTAGCCCATCACAAAAGAAAATCAATGTGAAACCCGCCGCAAAAAATTCAATGCGTACTCAGACGCACAGTAAATCAATAAGTGCCCCGCCACAGGGAATAAATGTGCAACCCGCCACAGGAAGGACTCAATTTGTACTCCGCCACTAAGAGAATCAACTTGTACCCCGTCACGATGGACAATCAACTTGTAACCCGCGACAAAAAGAAATCAAGGTGTAACCCACAACACAAGACATCCATGTATAACCAGCCACACAAGGAATGAACTTCCAACTCGCCACAAAAAACAATCAATGTGTACTCCGCCACCAAGGGAATGAAGTTGTACTCCGCCACAAAAGGATATCAACCTGCATCCCGCCACGAAAATAATCAATTTTGCAATCCGCCACACAAGAAATAAAAAAGACTACGCCTCACATGGAATCAACTTGTACTCCACGACAAAAAGGTCAACGTCCATTCCGACCCAAAGAGAAAAAATGTAACCCGCCAGAACGGGAAATCAATGTGTAACCCGTCACAAATAGAAGTAAATTGTTACCCGCCATGAAAGAGATCAATGTGCAATCAGCCACAAAAGGAAAATACTTTGTAATCCGCTTTGACAATAGTCAAACTGTAACCCTCAACGAAAAAAACAAAAATGCTCCACGAACGAGATTCGAGGTTTAGACAGCTTCACACGGAATCCGATCGTCATCCGCAGCAAGAGGACTGTTATTGTAATCCCCAAAAATCAGAAGCCGATTGAAACCATGCACAGGCCTACGACAGGCCGATACATAGCCTATGCATAGCCCAACGGTAGGCCTATGCATAATCTATGCACCGGCATGTGGTATGCCTCTACATAGCCCATACACGGGCCTACCGTAGGCCTATACATAGCTCATGTGTAGGCCTGTGGTAGGCCTATACATGGCATGTGGATAAGCCTACGCAGGCCTACGCAGAGCTTATGCGTAGGCCTATTGGAAGCCTATGCGTAGCCTATGGGTAGACCTACGCTAGGCCTGCACGCAGCCTGCGCATAGGCCTACCGTAGGCCTATGCCGAGTCTATGCGTAGGGCTGCTGTAGGCCTGTGCGTAGGCCTATGCATAATGGCATGGACTGTGCACAGGCCTACCGTAAGTCAACCACAAGCCTGCTGTAGACCTACCCATAGCCTACAATAGGCCTACCGTGGTCCTCCCAGACGTTTATGTATAGATCTATGGTAGGCCTGTGCGTAGGCCTATAAGTCGACCTTTCTGTAGGTCTATGCACAACCTATGCGTAGGTCTATGGCGACCGACGGTAGGCTACGCATAGGCTGTGGCCGGACTCCTTGATTGCATATGCAGAGAGCAGCCCGCAACACGGCGCCCACCGCGGCGGCCGCCCACACCGCGGCCAGCAGCCCCACCGGCGTCACCCCTGGCGCCGCAGCGGCGGGCGCGCGCTGCGGTGCGGCAGTCGCCTGGCGGCGCGGGAGTGACTGGCGAGGGGAGGCTCGGGAGTGATGATGATGACGATGACGATGACGATGACGATGACGATGACGATGACGATGACGACGATGACGATGACGATGACGATGACGATGACGATGACGATGACGATGACGATGATGATGATGATGATGATGATGATGATGATGATGATGATGATGATGATGATGATGATGATGCGGTGTGGGATTTGCCTGGCGGCGCGGGACCGAGTGGGGAGGGGAGGAGGCTCAGGAGTGTGGCCCCTCTCTCGGCGGTGAGCTCTTGGAGGATCGAAGTGAGGAGAGGGCAAAGCTGCCCGGAAGGCCGCGAGGCTTCTGAACGGCCTTCGCGCCCTCTGAAAGTTCTGTTCGGTGCCCTCGGGGAAGGCTCATGACACTTCTGAGAAGGTCCGAGGCCTTCCGAGGCCTTTGACGGCATGCCCGGCCTCAGCCTCGGGCCTACTCTGAAATCGTATTCATTTGAATTCCTTGCTTTGTTCCATGCCCTGTGGTCATCGCGCAGAAAGGACTGGTCCCTCTCACTCCCCCCATGGGCTCGCCGCCGTGCTCCGCGTGGGGCCGCGCCGCACTGTATCCGCGGGGTGGCGGCCAAGAAGTTCTGTCCCAGAGGCCGTGGCTACTGACGTGTTCCACGCCCACGACGCGCTTCCCTTCCCAGTACTTTTCCACACCTTCTGCCTCTCCTCTCTCTCCAGGTCTCCATCACCAACCCAAAATAGAACCACGCGTTCGTGTTCACCTTTCTTCGTCGTACGTTTCTTCGTCGAGACTACGTTTCCTACTCTTCCAGGTAGGCGTGCCATCAACGTAACAACGAGAATCCCAACTCACTACCGCGAACTCCATCAAAGACCTTCCCTCATCTTTCCACTGTGCCAGCTGTGACGCAGACCACAATCATGAATGATAGCGCTCAACCGCAAAAACTCCGGCACCAGGGACCCACCGAACGCAAGACAACAAACCCCAACAAAAAATAGGAGCAGCAGACGTAGATGATACTGGCCGGCTAAAAAGGGCCTGGGAACAATCGAGCGGATCGTGCATTCAAATCCACCTCGGCGTGTTTCCTTGGCGCAAACCTTGCAGATGGGAGCGCGGTGTCGGCATACGACCACGGTGTACCTGATATGGCGGTGGCGCAGAAACGCCAAACGATCCGCAGAGGGCGAAGCCCTACAGACATTTTGAAATTACATACCTAGATGGGGTACGAAAACCAACATCCAAGCAGGACCGAGAGAACGAGAGAGAGAGAGAGGATACTAAAGAGAGAGAGAGAGAGAGAAAGAATGATCTGTACATATATATATATATATATATACGGAAATAAAGAGAAAGAAGACAACCGAAGCGAGATACACGGGGAATACCGATCTATACATAGAGAGAGAGAGAGAAATAGAGAGAAAGAGAGAGAGAGAAGGAGAAAGGGATATAGTAATTTGTTTATGCATGTACATCTACACATATGGGCCCCGATGTACATCCTGGGGGCACCTTGGGCCAGGGACACTTCTAGCAACCTCCGATGTTTGGGATCATGCAAAAGAAGGGCACCTTGGGAATCGAGTTTTCCTGGGGCCAGAGGCGGCAGCGGGGGGGGATCCCGCCCACCCACTCGCCAGAGATAAGAGCAGAAGGACAGACGACCGCGGAGGTGGAGAAGCAAGGGAGCAGATGGAGGAGGAGGAGGAGAGAGGGGGGGAGAGTCGAGGCCACTGCGCTCAGAGAGCGGAGAGAGGAGGAGGAGACGGAGGAGGAAGAGGAGGAAAAGGAGGAGGAAGAGGAGGAGGAAGACGAGGAGAAGGAGAGGGAGGAGGAAAAGGAGGAGGAGGAGGAGGAAGAGAAGAGAGGGAGGAGGGCCCTCCGCTGAAGCGCCCCATTTTCCTGGCTGCCCCCACGGCGCGGGCCGCAGGCCGTGCCGCCCCACCCACCGCCGCAGGGCCGGCTCCAGCCCCCGCTGCAGCTCCAGCCAGGCGGGGGCGCCCACGTGGCCGCGGCGGCCCTCGCACGGAGGGTGGGCGAGGGCCGAGCGAGGCTCCGAGGAGAGATGTCCGAGCAGAAACACGCCACAGGCACAAACTTTTGGCGCTCGGCGCAGATGTCTTGGATCTGCGCTGGGGCCCCCCTGGCGGCGCCTGCGGCGCCGCCCCTGTAGCGCTTCGCGCGCCGGGGAGGGGGGTCCAGCGCGGATCCGAGAAATCCGCGCGGAGCGCCAAAAGTTTCTGTTTATGCAATTGGTTCTCATTCTTCTTCTGAGAGAGGGAACGAGAGAGAGCGAGAGAGAAAATAACTAAGACGAAGCCAGGACGAGGATCATGGAGAATCTCTGAGGTTTGGCGGCTCTGGGGGATGTCTCGGGCGACGCAAACTTCTCGGAGCGTTCCGGCCGGGACGCTCTGAGAGCGTTCCGGAACGCTCTGGAACGTATTTGCCCTCGTCCTAGCCCCGTCCGGAAGACTCCCAAAACGTGGTCCGAGTAGACGGGGTCGGAGCAGTGCGCCAGATCGAGGACGTCGCGTGGAGAGAGTCGGGCTTCACATCGGGCCGCATCGCCGATGCATCGGCGATCCTCCGACCCCATGTGTGTGCTCCCATGTGTAGAAGAAACAGAAAGGGTATACACATAAACTTTTGGCGCTCCGCGCGGACTTGTTGGATCCGCGCTGGACCTCCCCTCCTTGGTGCGCGAAGCGCGCCAGGGGCGGCGCTGGAGGCGCCGCCAGAGGGGTCCTGGCGCAGATCCAAGGAATCCGCGCGTAGTGCCACAAAAGTTTATGCTTGTGGCGCTTTCTCTTCTTCGAATGTGGGAGGCCTGGACGGATCGTTTAATGTAGCGTGGAACGTGGGTGCCACCATGCTCTTATACAAGCTCAAACACATACACCACCTCCGTGTCAAATCTTGACCTGCCAGATCTCGGGGCCAAGAGGGGGGCGTCCAAGAGGGCGGGGCGCAAATCATGGCCGGCGGCATGTGCGCGGCCCAGGGGGGGGGGGGGGGCGGGGACGTAATGGAACAAGAGGAGACGCCATGAAATCTGAGGAGATATCATGGCCCCCGCCATGATATCCCTCCCCCCCATGATCATCACCCCCCTCTCTGCCGCCCCCGAAAATCGCACGGGAGACAGAACCACCTGTGATTCAACCGTGCCAGAGGTGGGAGGCCTGGACGGAGACAGCACGGGTAGGGCTGCCGGGCGAGGATCGGTGCCCCGGGCCTCCGAGGCGCAACTGTTTTTTTTTTTTTTTTTTTTTTTTTTTTCGTTTGTTCAACATCCGCGTTCTGTTCCCAGAGGTCTGGGCCCTCGGGGGGCGAGCTCGGGCCCCGGGGCCGTCCGCTCCTCTCCGCCTCCTCCTCTCCTCCTCCCTCCTCCCTCCTCCTCCTCCTCCTCCTCCTCCTCCTCCTCCTCCTCCTCCTCCTCCTCTTCACCACGGCGAAGAGAGACCAGGCCACGAGGACCCAGACTGCCCACACCCAGGCCGCAGGCGACAGCTCACGAGCCCCGAGGGCTGCCAGCCCCGGGAAGGCGGTCGGGACCTCCGGGCCGAGGAGGACCTGAGGACCTGGCACGTCTTCGAGGAGGGACGACATCTGAGGATCTGAGGATCGAGGATCTGAGGATCTGAGGATCCGGCGTGGACTGGCCCAGGGGGGGTACGTCGACCTGGCATCGGCGATTCTGGAGGCCTTCTAGATGGGGTCCTAGCAGATGGTGTCGGAGTATCGCTCTAGATCGCCGATGCATCGGCGATACATTGGCGATGCATCGGCGATGCATCGGCGATGCACCGGCGACGCATCGTTGATGTCGGAGATGCATCGGCGGAGCCGACGTGGAGAACATCGGGCGCCACATCGAGCCGCATCGCCGATGCATCGACGATACGGCGCGATCCTCCGACTCTATCTACTCCGACCCCATCTAGGAGGCCTGGAGGATCCGAGGGCCGTGGTTTTGCACGTATTCAAGGAGGAACGACAAGGGCGTGGACTGGCCAAGGGGGAATGCATCGACCTGGGATTGGCGACTCATCGCCGAAATATCAATTAGCGATGGGCCGCCCGATGTCGAATCCGCACGGCTCTGGGCGTAATAGGCTCGGGCCCCTTCGGTGATGAATTGGCGATTGGGGGGCGATGCTTTCCCCCTGAGCCAGTCCACCTTACACGCTTAAAATTGCCCTGAGTACCGAGGAAGATCGAGGATCGAGGATCGTGGCCTTGCAAGTCTTTGGCTCCTTCAGGGCCTTCGGAGACTTCAGTGCTCAAGGCCTGTGGAGCAAGGAGGATGTTGGGTCGTTCCTCCCTGACTTGTCAGCTTACACGGATAGCGGCTGTCTTTGTCATGAGCGCCCCGTGCTAGCCACAGCAGCTGCACAGATAGATGTATGGACCCAGGATCAGCGCGCATTCGCAGTTGGGCTCAACAGTGGACCTCCACGGGCAAAGCACCCGGGGCAGGACTGAACGAATGGGGGGCGCCCAAATCATGACCCCAAACTGGAGATGGCACCGTACCCGCGGGCCTGTCCCGGAAGGCACCGGCCCAGGAGGACCGCGGACCGAGAGGGCCACGACCTTGCACGTCGCGGGGGTCTCCAGAAGCCTCCCAGGGCCTCCGCGAGGACCTCCTGAGGCCCACCAACGCGGAGGCGGCCCTCGCACGGAGGCGGAGAACAGCAGCGTCCCCCATGGAGGAGGATGAGGAGGAGGATAGAGGAGGAGGAGGAGGAGGAGGAGGAGGAGGAGGAGGAGGAGGAGGAGGAGGAGGAGGAGGAGGGAGAGGACAATCAAGGGTCGGTAGTTCTGCGCTTCGGAGGATCTGGGGCGCTGCTGGAGGCTCTGGTCGCTACGGCTGGGCTTGGCTCGGGCCTTGGACGACCCCCCAGGAATGGATCGGGGGGTCCAGTTTGAGCAGATTGGGAGGAGGTGGATCGAGGACCGAGGTTAACGCTTCAATCAATGTTAGCCAGCGTGGACCGACCCAAAACAGTTTTTTTCTAGCAATCTACGTTTTGCAGACTATGCTGTGTAAGCGATGTGGTGCAGTCGATGTGGTGCAATCTGAGTTTTGCGAACTATGCTGTGCAATATATGTGGTGCGCAATGTAGGCGATGCAGTCGACTTGGTGCAATAAAGTTATGTGGCGCAAGCTATGTGGTTCAATCTAAGTGTCACTTAGATTCCTGTTCCTGCTAAGTGGGCTATCTGTTCTGGCTAACTGGGATACATCAGTGATGTACTTAGTTGTACATTACTGGTGTACTTTCTGCTAAGCATACATATTTACATACATACATATTTATATAGACATGCAGTGCGTTCAAAGTGGTGCGATACATGTTGTGTAGTTCATGTTGTGCTGTCTACAACTATATATATATTGTACAAGATATGTTGCACACCCTATGTGGTGCAGTCCATGTTGTGCAACCTATGTGGTGCAAACCATGTTGTGCAGTCGATGTTGCGCAATGCACAGCACGGCGTAGCAATGCAAACAATGAAAGAAATGCAACGCAATGCGTGGCACATCGAGGCACTGCAAACAAAAGCAATGCAATGTAAACCAATGCAAAAGAACGCATGGCAATGCAATCTGCAATGCGCAGCATTGCAGAGACATGCAGGCAGAGCATCGCAGTGCACAATGAGGCCTCAGACGTCGGGCGGCGACGAGGCGGCGACGGGGCGGCGACGGCGGCTACGAAGCCGCCAGACCGGCACACCAGCCAACTTCCTTAGAGAAGAAATAAGAACCCGTAAGTATCGGAAGTGAGGGGGTGAGATCGAAGTGGAACGGAGAGCCCCCCTACCGGGAAATCGGTTTCGGTTTCGTGTTCGTGCGTGCCGTGCGTGCGGGCGAGGCGAAGCTGCGTGGGCGGGCGAGAAGAAAGTCTCCTCCGGCTGAGGCGCGGCCTGACCAAATGCTTCCTCTCTGGGGGCCGGTGGCCCGCGGTGTCCCGCCGGTGTCCCGCCTCCAGCTGAGGCGCGGCCGGACCAAATGTTTCCTCTCCAGGGGCCGGTAGCCCGCGGTGTCCCGCCGGTGTCCCGCCGGTGTCCCGTCGGTGTCCCGATGATGATGATGATGATGATGATGATGATGATGATGATGATGATGATGATGATGATGATGATGATGATGATGATGATGATGATGATGATGAGGATGTTGATGATGTTGATGATGATAATGATGATGGTGATGGTGGTGGTGATGATGGTGTCCCGATGATGATGATGATGATGATGATGATGATGATGATGATGGTTTCCCGATGATGATGATGATGATGCTGTTGCTGATGATGACGATGATGATGTCACGATGATGATGTTGATGATGAGGATGATGATGAGGTGAAGATGATGAGTTTGATGATGATGGCCCGATGAGGATGATGCTGATGTTGATGATGATGGTGTCCAAATGATGATGATGGTGATGATGATGATGGTGACGATGATGATGGTGTCCCGGAGATAATGCTGATGCTGATGATGCTGTTGATGATGATGATGGTGTCCCGATGATAATGATGTTGATGATGTTGTTCATGATGATGATGATGAGGATGAGATGATGATGACGGTAGTGTTCCGATGCTGCTGATGATGATGATGGTGTCCCTATGATGATGATGTTGATGATGATGGTGACGATGACTGTGTCCCGATGATGATGATGATGATGATGATGATGATGATGATGATGATGATGATGATGATGATGATGGTGAAGATGATGATGTTGATGATGATTGTGATAAGGTGATGATGATGGTGATGATGATGTCCCGATGATGATGATGATGCTGATGACGTTGATGACGATGATGTTGATGACTAAATTATGACGTTGATTGTGAGATCGATTCTGACATCGATAGTGAGATCGATCGTGAGACCGAATGTGAGATCGATTGTGAGATCGATCGTGAGATCGATAGTGAGATCGATTGTGAGATCGATAGTCAGATCGATTGTGAGATCGATCGAATGAAATAGATCGAGTGAGACCGATCGAGTGAGATCGATCGAGCGAGACCGATAGTGAGATCGATAGTGAGATCGATAGTGAGACCGATCGAATGAGACGTTGGTTCCTCCCCCCCCCAAACCTCCTTATCACCCGAAGGGTGGTCGTATAGTAAGGATTGCTTCGGGAACTGCTGGCACTCGGAAAACATCCAAAATTCTTCCGAGGCCTCCGAGGACTTCCGGAAACCCTTCGAGTTGGCGTCGCGCTTGAGCCAACATATCTACGGACCTCTATGACTGTGCTTCATCGGCCCGAGCTTCACGACACTGCCTTATGATAGAGATGCATGCTGTACATCTTCCTCTGTGAGCCTTACCCAAGCAAGCGTGAATATGCTCGCCGAGCGCTGCTCTGAGAAGGCACTCGACCTCGACCCAGCTGCGGCTGTGAGAGCACCTGTCAACAAAGTATTTGGGTCGAAATCCAACTGCTGCCCGAGACGAGGGCGAGGAGGATAGGTCGAAATCCAACTGCAGCGAGGCGAGGTGTACGGATACGGCACGAGGAGGGCCACAAAGTGAAGTGGAGGTGGACGTAGAGAAGGGCATGATGAGCAGGAGCAGGAGCAGGAGAGGATGCCATGAAGGGATGCGGAGAGGCGGAGGGGCACGTGGAGGAGGAAGAGAGGGAGTGAGGAAGGGAGAAGTCGGAGTGTGCACCAAAGCGGGGGACGTGCCATGGATTGGACGTCCGTTCACCGTGCACGTTCGGCTTCGTGCGCGCTTTCCGCAAAATAATCCAAGGTGCTTGCTCCCCGATGGCCCAGGTGTTCTGGCGTTGGCCTCGCCGAGAAACAGTGCACACGTCCGAGCGATGCCAAGGGGACCGGGCGCTCGCAGAAGCACAGGCGATCGTCAGATCTTCGACGTGCCTCCGACGTGGCTCCGATGCTGCAGCTCTGGAAGCAGACCTCGTCGATCTGACGGGCGCGGAGACTGGAAGGATCGAGTGGGCTGAAAGACCGCCAGGCGCAGGGAGGATGGCAAGCTTAAGATCATCGGCACTTGCCAACACTTGACCGCCACTGCAACACTCCGCCACCGATCGCGCGTCGCTGTGCGTACGTGTGAGGATTGCCCGATACCGCAGCGGTATCATGATCTGAAGTCGCAGCTGAACTGGGTTTTGACAAGCGCTGTCGGAGTTCCCCTTTTGAGCCCTAGATGCGCCCAGGTGCACGAGGAACGCCGAGGAAAACCCATGGACGGACCTGAGGAACATCGAGCCCCTGTTGGAACCAACATGGGCCGTATCTCAGAATATTGATTGTAACACAATGGCCGCCACCATGCGTATCCATCATTACCGCGATGACCATGCGGTAATGACAAGAAATTGAACGTGACGCGCCACTACGTTCGGCGACACGATGGCGTCCAGACGATACTTGAACACATGTAACTAGAACCACACGCGCGCTTCGGTTCTAGTCGTGGCCACGGAACTCGCAGTGCAAGGACTTGACGAGGAGCGCAATGGCGAGACTGAAAACCTGACCTGACCCAACCAGACCTGTCCACAAAACTTGTCTGGGAGAACCACGTGGAAAACTGCTACGGAACTCCGATAACTGGCGTCGTCGTCGTCGTCGTCGTTGTGGTCGTCGCCGTCGTCGTTCTTCTTCGGCTTCGTCGTCGATCGTCAATCGTCGTCGCCGTCGTCGTCGTCTTTCGACCGTGTCGTCGGCGTCGTCCCTCGTCCTCGCCGTCGTCCTTCGTTGTCGTTGTTCCCGTGCGAGGCGCGTCTTGGAGGACTCTTCGGGGCCTTTCGGGGTCTCTTGGGGGCTCTTGAGGGCATTTTGGTGCGGAAGAAACGGACTGTCCGTTTGGCCTGCCCCTTTTGGAGCCGTCTTGGGCGTCTCCTCGGCCGTCTTGGGCGCCTTCAGGGCTGTCTTGAAGCTCTTTGGGGCCGCCTGTGGCTTCTCTTGCGGGACCTCGTGGGCAGTTTGACGGCTGTCTCGGGAACATCTTCGGCCGCCTCGGAAGGAGACAAATCGTACATGTTGGAACTGCACGTTTTCACATCGGAATTTGACGATGTTTCTCTCCCGTAGCCCTCCCTTAGCGGCCGTCTAGCGTGCGAGGCGCGTCTTGGGGAGCTCTTTTGGGCCTCTCGGGGGGGGGCCTCTTGGGAGCCTATTGAGAGTTATTGCGGGCATCTCGGGGCTGCAAATTAGAATTGTTCGTTTGGCCTTCCCCTCGTGGAGCCGTCTTGGAGCTTTCCTGGATCGTTTTGGACGCCTCCTGGTCCGTCTTGGAGACCTCAGGGTCCACACGTCGGCTCTTTGTTAGGGCTTTTGAGCCGTGTGGAGGCAATATTGCAGGCCTCTTGGGCCATCTTGGAGCGTCAGAGTACAACAAAAATCACATGTACTGAACATGCTCGTTTCCCATGGGAATTTAACGAATTTCCCCTTCCCGAACCCTCCTCAAGCAGCCGTCTAGCGTGCGAGGCGCGGCTTGGAACCCTCTTGGGGACCTCCGGGGCGTTTTTCGGAGACTGCTGGGGCCGTCCTGGACGCTGGGAAGGCGAATCAGGCGAATATGCGACAAAAGTACTTCCTAAAGAAATTCGGTGATTGCTGGTCCTTGGGGCTCCCTTATGGGGGCGTTCTGGAGGCCTCATGGGGCGCCTTGACGATTCTTGGACTGCCTTGGGGTCTCTTGGGGGTATCTGGAAACCTCTGAGGGGCCTCTTGGGGGCGTCCTTGAGCTTCCTGGGGGCCTCTCCAGCGCAAGGGCGGCAAAATCCATTCGGAGCCTTGGTCCGAGACCCCCGCTGGGAGCGGTCTTGGTGGCCTATTGGGGGTTTGGGCGCTTCTTGGGACGCCTCGGAACCCTCTTGGGGACCTCTGGGGCGTTTTTCGGAGACTGCTGTGGCCGTCCTGGACGCTGGGAAGGCGAATCAGGCGAAAATGCGACAAAGGTACTTCCTAAAGAAATTATGTGATTTTTGGTCCTTCGGGCTCCCTCCCTTAGGGGGCGTTCTGGAGGCCTTGACGATTCTTGGACTGCCTTGGGGTCTCTTGGGGGTCTCTGGAAACCTCTGAAGGGCCTCTTGGGGGCTTTCCTTGAGCTTCCTGGGGGCCTCTCCAGCGCAAGGGCGGCAAAATCCATTCGGAGCCTTGGTCCGAGACCCCCGCTGGGAGCGGTCTTGGTGGCCTCTTGGGGGTTTGGGCGCTTCTTGGGACGTCTCGGAACCCTCTTGGGGACCTCTGGGGCGTTTTTCGGAGACTGCTGTGGCCGTCTTGGACGCTGGGAAGGCGAATCAGGCGAAAATGGGAAAAAAGTACTTGTGAAAGCAATTGGACGATGTTTGGTCCTTGGGGCTCCATTAGGGGGCGTTCTGGAGGCCTCATGGGGCGCCTGGACGATTCTTGGACTGTCTTGGGGTCTCTTGGGGGTCTCTGGAAACCTCTGAGGGGCCTCTTGGGGGCTGTCCTTGAGCTTCCTGGGGGCCTCTCCAGCGCAAGGGCGGCAAAATCCATTCGGAGCCTTGGTCCGAGACCCCCGCTGGGAGCGGTCTTGGTGGCCTCTTGGGGGTTTGGGCGCTTCTTGGGACGTCTCGGAGCCCTCTTGGGGACCTCTGGGGCGTTTTTCGGAGACTGCTGTGGCCGTCTTGGACGCTGGGAAGGCGAACCAGGCGAATGTGCACAAAATTATGATTCCGAAGGGAATGGGACGATTTTTGCTCCTGGGGGCTCCCTTGGGGGGCGTCTTGGAAGCCTCTTGGGGCATCCTGGGGGTCTCTTGGGGCCTCTTGGAGGCTTCTTGGGGGCCTCTTGGGGGCCTCGGGGGTCCTCTTGGGGCGAGGGGCTCGAAACTTCAGTTGGATGTCCCTATCTTGGGCTCCTGTTGGGCGCCTTTGTGGGCCCGTTTGGGCCGTCTTGGGCGCTTCTTGGACCGTCTTGGGGCCCTGTTGGGCCGTCTTGGGGCCCTCTAGGGCGCCTCTTGGGCCGTCTTGGGGCGGTCTTGGGAGCCTCTGAGGTCGTCAAGAACGGTACGACAGCGAAAACAATCAAAATGCTATAAAAAATATACGTTTCACAAAAGGAATGGGGCTATTTTTGCCCCTTGGGGCTCTCTTGGGGGGCCTCTTTGGGGCCTCTTGGGGTGTCTGAAGGGTTTCTTAAGCCGTCTGGAGGCCATCTTGGGCGTCTTGCAGCGGCCTGTGGGCGTCTCGGGTCTCTCTTGGAACGTCTTCGGGCTCTCTTGGCGCTTTCTGGTGGCGTTTTGTATGCCTCTGGGGCCCCCAAAGCGCCTGCACACCCACATTTGTGGTAGAGGTCGCGGCCCCGGGGGCCCAGGCCCCGGTGCGCCGTTATATGTATAATCGGAAGGGAGGCAACCAGAGAGCGTTCTTCACACAACTCACCATCTGTCACGCGTGCCTCACCAACGAAACATTATATTAACACACATTCGGTTGCCCAAGGGAGACACTCACTTTGAGCCGCCTAGCGGCCTCCCAGACGTTGCAATGCTGACCAACGTTCCGAAACAAACCGAACGCATCGGAAGGCTCTCCTTCTGTGCCGTGGGGGCTTCCTGGTACCCGGAGCCCGCGAAGAGCTATCACCCTGCAGGTCTGCAGCCATGTACTATTAAGATGTCCCCGCGGCAAGCCCATACAATCGGGATGCCATGACACGGCCGCCGCCTTCACGATGGATCGACCAGTAGGCGCGCAATGCAGAGAAAAGATGGCCCCTTAGCGGCTCTGGCGCACATGTGTCTGCAAGTATGGTCAACAGGAGATGCTCCTGGGTGGCCTGGCCAGATTTGAGAAACTCTTATAAGTCTGCGGGGCCATCATACGTAAGACAATACTCAGGAGACTCCAACTGGACGCACACACACACAAATCTGGCCCTTCTGTTTCCCAGCTCCCTCTCAGCGACTGGCGGTAAATAGAAAATGGGAAAACATGGATACTCAAAAAGGATAAGGCTGGCACGTTGGCACGCGTGGAAAAACATGACACCACGCCGATCTCTTATACCCGTGGGCTTCGCAACTGTGGAGATGGTGATCCATCATGTAATGACCGGAACTAGGATATCAAAGAACCAATGTACGTCCCGTGTCCGAAACACCATGATGTCAGCCGCAGCCAGGTCTTTGTGGCAGGAGAGATACGGAACACGTCTGCGTGGCCTGCTGCTGAAAAGCGTGCCTCCAGAGGAGGGCAATAATGTAGCTCACCGTGTCTGAACAAGCCGAGCTCATGTCATCAAGCTGGCCGTCGCACACATCGCTGGCCTACGTTCCTCGGGCTCCTCGATGGACAACTTGGTCGAATGCTGGGAGTGAGTCGCATGCAGCCCTGCCCGCACCCCGAAGCCTCACGCCGCTTCGTCTCTATGAGGGGGGTGCCAATGTCCGCAACTGTGCCCGGGCGTCTGCCCGAGTGCGGCACCAACCGGAACTCGTGTTTTTGCCCGAGCGCGGCAGAGTGCGACAGAACTCCTCTGTTCGAAACTTGGCGGCGAGCGAGCGAGGAGATGAGGAGAAGGCCTTCTCAGAAGGCGGCGGGACTGCTCAGAAGCCCCCGCGCCTTCTGAGAAGTTTTTGTGTCGTAGGGGAAGGCTCAGGAAACTTCTGAGAAGGTCGTGGGACTTCCGAACCTTCTGAGAAGGCCTTCTCCTTCTCACTTCCCTCCGGGCTCACCACCAGCCAAAGAGGTGTTCAAGGTCGGTCGCCGTGTTGGCCACACCACGTTTTCGGTCACAACTTCGGGCACGCTTTCGGTCACCGACTCTCCCTGACCTTCCGAATGGGTGCCAGCAACTGGCCCATCCAGACCTGCAGCCTTGCCTCGACTACTTCCTCAGACTTCCGACTGACACCTTGGACGTCGAGGCCCCGGTGCTGCCCCTCCGCCCTGCTGGAAGGTCAGGGCTCTCTTTCCCGCCGCGTGCCCCCTCGGCTGCTGCACGGGGGCCTGCCACCCCGAGGACCGCCCCTCGCGCAGGAGGAGAGGCCGCGGGCCATCCATGCGAGGAGCGGCATCTCGGCCGTGGGCGAAGAGGCCGGGCGGAGAGGGCGCGCCCCGGGCGAAGAGTCCCTCCCCGCGGGGGCCTGGCATCGCTTCAGCTGGCGAGTAAGACGGAGCCAGAGTGCAGCCGTCGAGCTGCCACCAGGAACGCATACAGGGGGTCCACGAGAAACCTTCCACAAGAAACCCGAACCCTAAGACCCCAGGAAGCCCAACCTTGCACAAGAAACCTTCCTGCCACAGCAAAACCATCGAAGCCCAAGAAACCCAGGGCACCCTGGAGGGAAGCAGGGTGTTTCTGGCATGGGCCCCCGCTGTGAGACAGAGCCAGGGTGCAGTCGTCGTGCTGCCACCAGGAACGCATGCGAAGGAACGAGGGGGCTCTTCTGGCCACGGCAGGCCTGAGCCACAAGCAGGTTCCACGGCAGACGTCGAGGGACCACCCCCCGAAAGGCCGAGCCCCTCCTGAGCCCACAACGGTCAGTATTTCAGCGTCTGGACTGTATGCAGCTGGCACGACCGCAGTCAAGATGGGCACACTTCCTTGACCGACATGGTGCTCGAAATGTGCAAACCCACCAGCCATCACCATCGACTGGACAGCGCCCACAAGCGATGCGCTGTTTGGGGGGCAACATGTCTCAAAGCCGAGATCGCTTGCTGACGCAATGTGAACGTGGCGCGTTGCATTTCTTCCCGTCTCGCGGGACGCCCTCGAACGTCCGAACGAGGAGGACGAAGAGGAGATGGGGGGAGGAGGGGGAGGAGAGAGGAGGAGCAGGACGACGTGGACAAGGCGGGTGGGGATTGTGAAGGAGGAAGAGGAGGAGCCAAACAGCGACAGCAGCAGGGCCACCAGAACATCGAGGAGGAGGAGGAGGAGGAGGAGGAGGAGGGGGAGGAGGAGGAGGAGAAAGTAGGAATAGGAGGAGGAGGAGGAGGAGGAGGAGGAGGGGGGAGGAGGAAGAGGAGGAGGAAGAGGAGGAGGAGGAGGAGGAGGAGGAGGAGGAGGAGGAACAGCAGGAGGAGGAGGAGGAGCAGCCCTCCCCGGGCGGCTCCTCTGCCGACCACTGGTGCAGCTCTGGCGGCGCAGGCCAGGGGTCGCGCAGCAGCGCCTCGCGCCCGCGAGAGCGGCACAGCACCATCCAGTCGGTCCTGCCAGGCCGCAGGAACTCGTCGACCTGGTGTGGGACGCACAAAACGTTTTCGCGTCCTCCTCCTCCTCCTCCTCCTCCTCCTCCTCCTCCTCGTTAAAAAAGACGACGGGAGATTTTTCGCCATTTTCGGCCTCGAGGGGCCAGCGCCGGGCCTTTGGACCGTCAAAAAAACAACTCAGGACGAAAAGCCGGTCCTGGGCAACGGGTCGGGACTTCCAGGGACCCCGCATTGAACAAAAATAGGACGTCGCATGTCTGGGTATATGTCCTCCTTGGAGGCGCACGTCCGACCAGAACATCTAGCATACCCATCCTGTAGTCTATCGCTTCCCGAGCGGTGTGGCCAGGAAGCGCCGGCCACGACGCACATGCTATAAGATTTCTCGGTGCACGCGTCGCCATGGGGGGGGGCGACGCAAATATAGTATTAGCATGTTGGGGTGAAGCCCATGGTGCGCAGGCGGCGCTCCAAAGCCGCTGCCGCGCCACAGCACCTCACAAGCGGCGAGCACTGTCCATATGGGTGCCCTCGCGGTGTGGACACCGAAGCGCGATCCACATGGGTATGCGATCCGATTGGTGCACTCAGCGCGAGGCGCTCGCGGAAAGCTGCCCTGGGTCCATGGGGAAGCGGCAACGGAGCCCGAACCGAGAAGGCTGCTGATGTGGACACTCTTGCCACAAAAATTACGCTACCGAGGAACCCACATACTTGATTTAAATCTTCCCTGCGCACCCTCTCTGGTGTCGGCAAAGTGCCACCCCTGCCACGCTCTCCGACCCTGGCGCGCATAGAGACCGCGCTGAGGGACCACCCTCCGCGCACCCCCATGTGGTGCCGAGAAAGTGCCACGCCTGCCACGCTCTCCGACCCTGGCGCGCATAGAGACCGCGCTGAGGGACCACGCCCTGCGCACCCTCTCTGGGGTCGAGAAAGTGCCACCCCTGCCACGCTCTCCGACCCTGGCGCGCATAGAGACCGCGCTGAGGGACCACCCCCTGCGCACCCTCTCTGGTGTCGGGAAAGTGCCACCCCTGCCACGCTCTCCGACCCTGGCACGCATAGAGACCGCGCTGAGGGACCACCCCCTGTGCACCCTCTCTGGTGTCGGGAAAGTGCCACCCCTGCCACGCTCTCCGACCCTGGCGCGCATAGAGACCGCGCTGAGGGACCACCCCCTGCGCACCCTCTCTGGTGTCGGAAAGTGCCACCCCTGCCACGCTCTCCGACCCTGGCACGCATAGAGACCGCGCTGAGGGACCACCCCCTGCGCACCCTCTCTGGTGTCGAGAAAGTGCCACCCCTGCCACGCTCTCCGACCCTGGCACGCATAGAGACCGCGCTGAGGGACCACCCCTGCGCACCCTCTCTGGTGTGCCACCCTGCCACGATCCGCGCTGAGGGACCACCCTAGCCACCCCTGCCACGCTCTCCGACCCTGGCACGCATAGAGACCGCGCTGAGGGACCACCCCCTGCGCACCCTCTCTGGTGTCGAGAAAGTGCCACCCCTGCCACGCTCTCCGACCCTGGCACGCATAGAGACCGCGCTGAGGGACCACCCCCTGCGCACCCTCTCTGGTGTCGGGAAAGTGCCACCCCTGCCACGCTCTCCGACTCTGGCGCGCATAGAGACCGCGCTGAGGGACCACCCCCTGCGCACCCTCTCTGGTGTCGGGAAAGTGCCACCCCTGCCACGCTCTCCGACCCTGGCGCGCATAGAGACCGCGCTGAGGGACCACCCCCTGCGCACCCTCTCTGGTGTCGAGAAAGTGCCGCCCCTGCCACGCTCTCCGACCCTGGCGCGCATAGAGACCGCACTGAGGGACCACCCCTGGCGCACCCTCTCTGGTGTCGGCAAAGTGCCACCCCTGCCACGCTCTCCGACCCTGGCGCGCATAGAGACCGCGCTGAGGGACCACGCCCTGCGCACCCTCTCTGGGGTCGAGAAAGTGCCATCCGTGCCACGCTCTCCGACCCTGGCGCACATAGAGACCGCGCACAGGGACCACCCCCTGTGCACCCCCACTGGTATCGAGAAAGTGCCGCTCCTGCCACGCCCTGCGAGCGTGTCACGGATAGAGGCCGCGCTGAGGGACCACCCTCCGCGCACCCCCATGTGGTGCCGAGAAAGTGCCACGCCTGCCACGCTCTCCGACCCTGGCACGCATAGAGGCCGCGCTGAGAGACCACCCCTTGCGCACCCCCTATGGTGTCGAGAAAGTGCCACGCCTGCCATGCCTTGCGTGCTTGTGTGTGTGTGTGTGAGTGTGTGTGTGTGGGTGCTATGCTGTGCTGTGCTGTGCTGTGCTGTGCTGCTGTGAGCTATGCTGTGCTGTGCTGTGCTGTGCTGTGTGCTGTGCTGAGCTGTGCTGTGCTGTGCTGTGCTGTGGGTGATGAGGTATCTTTGTGTGTATGTGCGTATGTGTGTATGTGTATGTGTGCGCTGTGCCGTGCTGTGTTGTGCTATGCTGTGGGTGAGGGAGGAAGGAGGAGGAGGTAAGGAGGTGAGACGCGGGTGCGGCGCGGCAGTGAAGGAAACCAGAACCCCACCAAGCATGTGGGGAACAACGATTTCCCAAATCTCTGACCACAATCCCACTGTCGCTGCTGTAAGACGAAGCCAGGACCGGGACAACATCGGACCAGGACAAATCGGGTATCTCTGAGAACGGCAATGCTGGAAGATGTATCGGGCGCCGCGGACGTTCCAAAGCGCTCAAGAACGCTCAGGGAGCGTTGCGGCTAGCTCTGGAGTGACCAACTCCAAAAATCGCAGATCCCTCGCCATGATAGGACTCCTGCGGTCTGGCTGGTGACCCCAAGGCCGAACACTGCACTTCGCGAACGTCGGTTCCTGTCCACAGCCGGCATATTACATGCGCCTCTTACGAGCAACCATGGCGCGTAGATTCACCCGTGGCGCTGATGAGGCGCGACGCAGTGAGGAGTCCACAACTTGCAGGCATGTGGCTGTAGAGGTCGCCCGAGGCGACAGACAGGCGCGGAGGGCGGAGGCCGGAGCGCACCCTGGCAGGGACCGCGGTCGACACGCGAGGCCTTGACGAAGGGCAGGTACAAGAAGGTTGGGGATGACGCTGATGACGGACGCGATGATGGTGAGCAGGTGAGCAGGAGGGGCGAGCGCGAGGGGATGTGTTGGAGAGTAGGATCGTAGTGAAGTGGACTGGCGAGGACATGAGTGAAGAGTTGGTCGGATGCCAGGTGGTGAAAGAGAGCGAGAGAGATAAGATCAAGGCATGCAAGCGACCAATGAACAATGAACGGGGACGGCCACACTGGCAGAACCTTCCTGAAACATCGGCAGGCCGAGACACAACATAGATATACACATACGGGTCACACAAACAACCACTACAAGCAAACCCGTGGGCGGTGAACTTCATGTCCCTGGGTTGAATGCGACGGACATTCTCAGCTGAACCTTCCAATCGACAAACTAGCATGCGAAATGCACCGGCCACGCAGGCGGGACAACGAACGATGGAGAACAACGGGCGCGGCATTGGAACCATCACGATTGCAAGACGAGCGCAGATCATGGTTTGTGGGCAGAGCGCGAAAGCGCTCACACACTGGACCTCGTATATCGCGACGTCGTACCGCCCCTGCACGTACGGGAGGAACCTGGCTGCCAGCGTAACAGGGCTCGTACCACCGAGGACAGCGTGCCACTACAAAAGACCAACAAAACCACCAACTCCCTGCAACGACTTCCCGTCCTCACTTCTCCAGAAAAGGGGGCATGTACAAAAGCCTGCGGGAAGAGCCTCCCGCGTCCGAAGGCAAGACAATCCGTGGAGCGAGCACTCACATGTTTCCGGAAGCTTGCGGGGTCTCCTCTTATATCTCCACGGAAAGTCCGCAGGCCTCCCAACATCCCGAAACGCATCCAAAAGCCACCAGGGTCCCCCCAACATATCAAGAACGATCACCAGCATGGATTTTCGTAATCCCCGACGGGATAGCGGAAACGTGATCTTGGATCCTCGACCCAGAAAGCGGATGCCGAAACCAGAGAGAAGAATCCATCTTCGTATCATCATTGAGATATCGACCCCCGATGCTGAAGGGTCGCTCATGGGTCCTCGATCGTCGGATTCATTTTCTCCTAGGCGCAATGCGGCAATGTACCCTTCTGCGCGCACCGCTTCAAGTGAAACGTACGATGCGTTGCTGTTCATGACGCGAAAACCCCGTCTTGAAAAGAAGGCCACCCTCCATCCGCGTTATTTGTTGCACAATATGCAACGCCGGGTCGCATATGTCGAGAGAAGGTTACCTGGATGTATATAGCGGACTTTGTGTTCGACTGCGCGCGAAGACCCAATGCATTGCAGCGTTCGTTAAGGAATGTGGCCAGGAGGTTGCAAACCCTGGTGAATTCCTTAACGGATGAAGGCGGCGGTGGCATCCATACCCGATCCACCATCGGAATTCCACAAGCTCCTGGACCCTGGATTTCTTCCTGATTCAAGGGTTCCTTGCCCACTGCCCCCGACGTCTTAAAGAAAGACTCGCCATCCACTCGCCCAGCCAAGAACACGTTGGAAGCCGAACGTGCACAGCGCCAGGGGGATAGCTCCTTTGCGCAGACGGCTCGCCCTCTATCTGTTAGTTGGCTGTGTATGACGATGGTGCGCGGCGCCACCAAGGCGAAAACCCCATTGTAAAAGCTGTTCGTGGTCCACGCGCCACCGCGATCTGAATTCATCTGCTCCTTGAGGCCTCCTGCGGCGACGGGGGCGGTGAAGATGACGATGTGGATGCAGTTGCTGCTGGTGACGAAGGCGAGTTTGGGAACGTTTGGGGGGGAATTCTGGCGTCTGGGAACGCCTGGGAGCGTCATGGAACGTCTGGGAAGGCTTGGGGCAGCCTGGAGAGCGCTTGGATCCAAAATCGAAGTCGGCAAGGGGTATGTACTATACTATGGATTTACCCGTCGGTCGGAAAATGTGGCTAGAACCTCGAAGCCGAAGGCGTTGAAGTAGACTGGGTTCCCGCCTGCCCCGGGAGGACGACGGAAGAGGGAAAACCATTCGACTCTTGAAATACGAAAGCGGCTAAAATAAATTGGGATCTGGGAGTCCGCAAATACATATTTTCAACGACCGGCGTGTATTGTTTTTGTTTCTGCCTTGTCCCCAAAGCTCTTCGGGGCCAGGGGTGGGCTGTTGTTGGAAATCAGTAGAAGCGCACCAAATTAGAATGTTTCACAAGGGATGGTGAATGTTGGATCGGATGGGTGTACGCGGAATTGCATATTTCGCATACGATGGTGGGCGATGGGTAAGATGGATGCGCACCGAATGAAGTATGTTGTGCAGGATGGTGAGGGCCGGGTCGGATGGATGTGCATTGAATAATTGGTTGTTGCGTTGAATGATAACGGTTGGGTCGTGGAGATGTGCGCCGTCTCTTTGTGTACACAAGGTGGTGAAGGTTGGGTCGGGCGGATGTGATCAAGCTTGACACATCGTGCGGATGGTGAAGGTTGGGTCGGCTGGATGTGCCCATAGTGAAATGTTTGGCATTGGAAGTTGAAAGTTGGGCCGTATAGATGTGCGCGGCGATAAGGCGGAAACCTCATCTTGAAAAAGATCCGGCCTCCATTCCTGAAGCCATTGCAAGATTGTAGGACGGGCGCGCGTGGCGCATATGCGAGAACCACAGGTTGAAAAACGATCCAGCCTCCATCTTTGAAGCTGTTGCAAAACTTCGACACGAACGTGCGCATCGCTGGGGCGAGACCCACATGTTGAAAACGACCCGCGAGAGCGGCGTTTTGAACACCACCCCGTGCCCCATCCTTCAAGCTGCCGCACGCTTCGAGCCTCCATCTCATACTCGGCGAGGAATGCTCGGGCAAAACCCCCGGCCCGGCCTGCGGACACGACCAGTGGTGCGACAGGGAAGAGTTATCTGTAAGGAAAAGGATGCTAGAGGCAGAGGAGGAGGCAGACGAGGAGGAGGAGGAGGAGGAGTGACCCTCGCAACCCTGGGCGGAGGAGGAAACCTCGCAACCCCAAGGGGAGGAGGATGAGGAGGAGGAGGAGGATGAGGAGGAGGAGGATGCTGGATTCTGCTGATCGCCGCACACTCGGCAGTCCACTTTTAGCAGTCCCTGGGGTAACAGGCGGAACACGAGCCTCCGCGACCCCAGGGCTACAGCCACAGGAAAAACCCCGAGCCTCCGCAACTGCGCGAACTGCAGCCCCGGGGGTCGCAGGAGGGGGGAGAGGCCGAGATTCACCATGACCTCCCGCTTCTCGGTCTCGCCCCGAGCCAAATACGCATCGGTCATCTCACCAGCGGCGTCGTCACGCTCGACCTCCGCGCGGGCCAGGGCGGCCTTAGCAAACTCAGCGCTCAGGGCCGCCTGGTTCAAGACGGCGTGCTTCCTGGCGCACTCGGCCATGGCGTCCTCCTTTCCGCTGGTGCCCCCCGTCGTCACCACCTTCTGCACCTTCTCTTCCTCAGCGTCCTCAAGCTCCGCGCCGAAGGTGTGCACCTGCATCTTGGCGTCCGCCACAACCTTCTGGAGCTGTATCTCCAGCTCGTGGAGCTTCCTCTCCACCGCCTGCATGCGGCTGGCGTCGAGCTTCTTCTGCGGCGTGTGCTTGACCTCGCCCTGGGCCTCCTGTGCCACGCCGCTGGACTGGGGCACCCCCAGCGCGCTCACGACCTGCTCGGCGAGCGTGCCGTCGGGATGGGCGACACCCCTGCGCCCCTTGTTGCAGGCCTCCACCCTGCGCGCCAAGCCCTTTTGGCCCCGCTGGACCAGTTCCTGCTGGATGACCTGCGCGGTCGGCTTGGAGCCCTCCTCCCAGTCCAAGGCACGGCCAGCCAAGGTACACAGCTCCTCGAACTTCTCCAGCATGTAGGAGTCGTTCTTGTGGTCGCCTGCCTCGGCTACCGCCGCCTTCGCTGCTTCCGCAACCGCCGCTTGCAGAAGTCGCTCCGTCAAGGCTCTGCGGGTCGCCAGACCAGCCACCGCACGGAACACCGCCGAAACCTTCTCCTCCACCTGCGCCATGCCAGGGCGAAGGGACCGCGCGTCGCGCGGGGGGAACCGAGCCAAGAGCCAAAATGGCTACGGAGGAGGATGAGGAGGAGGAGGAGGAGGAGGAGGAGGAGGAGGAGGAGGAGGTAGGGAAATAAACTCTGGACACCGACGCTTTTTCCAGCGCTGCACTGACACTTGCGCAGGAAAGCGGATCCTGGCGTGTACGATGTCCTGGTGTATACAGTTTGCGATGTTTCCACGGCAAACGGGCAAACAAACATACACCACCCCACCCCGACATCGTCCCCGACCCACAAAAATTCCGGGGATTGAAACATAGCCTGCTGCTGGTAATGTACATGTTCCAGCTTCCGAGGAGGAGCCCTCGCAGCCCCGAGGAGAGTCGCCCCCCCCGACGGCGCCCCTCCCCCGCGGGCGGCCGGGGCACAGCGGCGCCCCTGGCGAGAGCACGTTGTCGGCAAGGACGCGGGCGCCGGGCGCTAGGCGGGGCTCCATGGCCGCAAGATCCTGTGCGCCGCCGACCCCCTCCTCCTCCTCCTCCTCCTCCTCCTCCTCCTCCTTCTCCGCCTCCTCCTCCTCCTCCTCATCCTCCTCCTCTTTCTCGCCTCCTCCTCCTCCTCCTCCTCCGCCTCCTCCTCTTCCTCCTCCTCCTCCTCCTCCTCCTCCTCCTCCTCCTCCTCCTCCTCCTCCTCCTCCTCCTTTTTCTTTTTTTTTTGTTTTTCGTTGGTTGTATCTGATGCGTCAGCATGTGGCGTCTTTTCCTCCTCCTCCTCCTCCTCCTCTCCCTCCGCCTCCTGCCATTCCCCTCCCTCCTCCTCCTCCTTCTCCTGGGGGCCTCTGGACCTCGTGGGGCGGCTGCGTTGAAACTCCTCTGGGCCTCCTCCCTGGAGATCCTGGGGACACATTGGGCCTCCTCTGCGCCGCCGACCCGCCGCTTCTCCTCCCACCCGCCGCGGCTGGAAGCCCCTGCCTGCGGTGGGCTGCCCCGCGTCGGACTGCTGCTCCCCCCTCGCCTAAGACGGCCCAACCCTCCGCTCCCACGGCTGGGACCCCGATTCCGGCGTCTCTCCCCGATTCCGGCCCCCGAGAGGGGACGTCTTCGGGCGCGGCCTAACCGTCCCTAGCAAAGCATCCCCTTCGGTGACGTCCTCCTCGCCTTTCGAGTTCCCCTCCGGCCGCATACACACGTCTGGGGGCGAGGCGAGGAGGACGTCACGGAAGGGGATGGTTTGCTAGGGTCGGTTCGGCCGCCCCGGACGTTTGGGCCCTGATGCCATCAGACGTGGACCTGGGGCAAACAACTGCAGTCATCGCGCCACAAGAAGGATCGCCAAATGCTAGGAACGAGGGGGCATCCCGAAAACCCGAGCCCCGTCTGAGCCCAAAGCCCGAGCAGGTTGTGTCGAAGGATCGCGCCGCATCGCCCATGCATCGGCGACGTAGGCAACGCATCGGCGCCCTCGGCGTTGAGGATCCTCCTCCTCCTCCTCCTTCTCCTCCTGATCCTCCTCCTCCTCGGGTTCCAAATTGAGCCGCATCACCGATGCACTGGCGATGCGGCGCGATCCTCCGACACCATCTCTTACCATCGCTCGGACGTCCAGTCCCCGTGCCTTGTTTGGCTTTGCGCGTTTTTTGCTTCCTCAAGATGGCCCAAGACCCCAGGCGCTCCAAGATGGAGCCACGACTTTCTGGCGCCGGCCTCGAGGAACAACATGCCCACGCCCGAGCGATGCCAAGATCGATTCGGACCCCCCGTTGGGAGGCCCTGAAACCGGGGAAACCGAAAGGTACCGATACTGCTACTCCCCGGACCTGTCCCGGGGTGCGTTCTGACCAGACTTTCGAGGCGAATCCGGCCGTGGAGGCGAGGGCCTCCCAGGAAGCGCACAGAGGGGAAAACGAGGGAGCCTCCTCCTCCTCCTCCTCCTCCTCCTCCTCCTCCTCCTCCTCCTCCTCCTGGGTACTCGTGTGGGTATCGTTCTCCCTCCTCCGAGGCACTGCCCCCCGAAAGGTCGGGGTCTGCGCGCGCCACCTCCCGCCGAGGCAGCTGCGGGGGCAGAGGCCAGGCGGCCCCCCGGGTCGCATCGGACAAGCATACAGCGGGCTCGTGTCGTGACGACCCTGGCGCTGGTCTCTGACACCGAGTGGACCCTTCAAGCTCCTCCTCCTCTTCCTCCTCTTCCTCCTCCTCCTCCTCCTCTCCTCCTCCTCCTCCTCCTCCTCCTCCTCTCCCTCCCTCCCTCCCCTCCTCCCCTCCCTCCCTCCCTCCCTCCCTCCCTCCCTCCCTCCCTCCCTCCCTCCCTCCCTCCTCAACGATGACCGTATGGAAGAATGGCTGGCGGCAGCCTGCGGCAAATCCGTCCGCGGCCCTCACCCAACAATGCTCGGTGCGGCTCCCGCGCCGAGAACGCCGCGCGCCGTGCTCTGCGGTCAGCCCGTACAAGTATGCAAACGCCTTGGAAGGCAATTTCTGAGCCTTCCGAGCGGCACGCGGCAAACGCAAGTGAGCGACGATCAACAACGGGTCTTACGCGAGATGACGTAGCGACCTGACGTGGTGGCTTTCGCAGGCCGCCCGTGCGGCACGCCACATTTGAAGCAAGGGCGATCACGCGCGACCTTCCGCGGGCAGCTCACGCGCCAATGTCGGCGCAGACGGTCCCGTTCCATGGCGCCGCTCAAGCGGCAAAGGATGGGCCGAGGAGGCAAGGATGCAGAGGCTGCCCTTTTGGGAAGGCTTCCCGCCCTTACCGTACGCTTCGACGGCAGCGCGCACGGCGCGGAGCGATCGGCGGGCTCTCCCTCGCGATGCTGCCCCACAGCGGCAGGCTCTGGGCCACCGGCGGCCCTCCTTCGGGAGCGCCCGCGGCGGGGCCGCCGCCGCGCCGACACGGCGCGAACCTGCCGGGCCAGACCGATGCCCGGACGGGGCGGCCCATCGCCGGGAAGCCTGGCAGGGGAGGCCAGCCCACGAGAAAGCTTCCACGAGAGCACCAGCCCTGAGGCCCCAGGACGCCCATGGATGTCTGGTGCGGGAACGTCGCGCCTCCCACAGCAAAGCCGTCGAAACCCAAGAAACCCAGGGCACCCCAGAGGCAAGCTGGGCGCTTCTCGGCATGGGCCCCCACTGTGCCCCCCGTGAGAAATGGTGCAGCAATCTTTCCAAGTTCTTGCCCCCAAAGCAGACCCCCGGTCTCAATGATGAGTCAGCCGCGGCCGACGGCGGACAGATCGGATCGCGCGGCGCCCCGCGCAAGCACTGCAGCCCGAGGGGCGCGGGGAGACGGACGGCGCCTGAAGGTTGCATTGCTTCCCCCAAGACGACGCAGGACGGGCTTCGAGAGCACCGGGGCCCACGTCGGATGCCCAGGCCTGCGGTGGTCAGTCCGGAGCGAAAGGAGAATGCGCGCAGTGCGCGAAGGCTCGTATGACGGGGCTGGTCGCGGACCGCGCGCGCAGTGCTTGCCGGCGGTCGTGCAGGAACTCGTGTACCCGCCTCCTACGCTGCAGGAAGCGGGGCGCCATCTTCACGCCCAGCGGGGCAAGGGCAATCGCAGAGCGCTTGCAGCACGAGGTTGGGCCAGAAAGCAGACCGATGCCTTTCGGGTGAGGCAGCGCTCTGCTTGAGAAGAAAGATCGGTTGCTCCGATTCAGGCTGCAAATGCTATGAGCAGACAACACAGTTCGGAACAAATTCCAGGCAGAGGCCACGCGTGAGACGACGGCAAGAAAAAGAAAACATGGTTGGGCAAAGACTAATCGAGATCTCTGGGAGCGGGCCTGTCTGGATGATTTCTCGGGCACCTCGACCGATCCAACGCGCTCCCGAAAGCTCTGAGAGCGCTCTGGGATCGACTCGTCTCTGTCCGAGGGTCACGGTCACGGGCCGAATCGCAAGCCAAAACAGATCGATGGGCAGATCAGATCGAGCCGCAACCTATCGCCAGGAGACCCCAAAACTCGTGCGGCCACGAGAAGATTCGCATCGAAAGCTGACGGCCGCGGGGTCCACCCTGCTTCTGGACCACCTCGCCCCGGCGTCCCTCTCCTCTCTACACACACACACACCCTGCGGCCGCCCACTATCTGCAGCTCCCGCGCCTGCATCCCACTTCGGCCCTTAGAACCCGATTTGCTAGCATTAGCGATGACGCCCGTGACTTGTCCCGCCTCCCCCCCTTCCTAGGACGAAGCCAGGACGAGGATAACATCGAGTGAGGGTAAGTCGAGAATCTCTGAGATCTGGCGGCTCTCGAAAATGTCTCGGGCGCCGCGGCCTTCTCCTAGCCCCGTCCGACTTCCCCCCTTGTCACGTCGCGATTCGCGCCGGCGCTGTCTGGCCATTCCTAAGCATTACCAGACGGCGCTGGCGTGAATTCTGAGGTGACTGGCCCTCTCCCCCCCCCTCCCCCCCTGGACATGCCCGTTATCGCTAGGGGATAACAAACTCTCTCTCAGTCTTCTAACTATTCAGTTCTGAGACATGCATCTAAGCTTTTACTATTCGCTGGCGGGCCCATCTTCGGATCCACATGGCTGAGGAGACGAGCTTCTGCGCCAAGCGCAAATTATATGTGGACTATTCGTGTAAGCTGGCAGCCATGCCTCAAACGTGCACCTGGCTCCAAGAAAGCATGCGTTACAATGTGTAAACCCGTTTGGACAATTGTGTTTTATCTGAGCGCGCATGTCCCAGGCCTGGAACACGACATCTTAGCACCTTCTCCGAATGTACTGTCAAGCTCGTCTAGCCCGCCACTGTGAACGACGGGTCAGCATCTCCTGGCCGTTCCCTCTAGTAGAGCCTCCTTTGAATGGTCTCCGACCAAAGGCATTAAATTCGGCCCCAAACGCTCTGGGGATGAACTCAACGAAGAACACATTGATTGTTCAGTGTTGTTGGCCCGTACGGTGCGTTGCTTCAGGAATAGAATGCTGTTTCAATGCGTCCACTGACGGCGTCAATTTTTAAACCCCAGACAGCTCACCACTTGGCCCCCGCCAAGCCAACGCTCATGGGAGAGCAGATACACGGGCACAGCACCACGCCCTCGAGCCGAAACGGATAAGTCTTTGTAACCACGCTGCAACCCAAATGTGCTCACCCACTCGCCCAAGCTTGCAAGCCACATCTCCCCGCCTACCCGCCTCGAGCAGCTTCCAAATGTTCCTCCCAAACCTGGGGTCAACATCCATTTCGACATGTCACCACCCATCCACAACTGTTTCCTAACCACCCGCTTAAGCCCGCAACTCCCATATCCCCATCCACCCGCCGAAAACGCAATCCAAATATCGTCACCCCCTCGCTCCTAACTTCATCTTCAACCAACGTATCTTCACCCAGCCGCCTAAAGCTGGAATCCGCCCCCCCACCGCCTAGAAGCTGCAACTACACTGTCCCACCCCCAATCCGTCCAAATCTGCGCCCGCATACCTTCCCCGCCCACCTGAAATCTAGAGGCCTCCTAGATAGGTTTGGCTAGATGCGGTCGGAGGATCGCGCCAAAGTGCCGATGCATCGGCGACGTCTGCGTGGCGAGCATCGGGCTCCACATCGAGCCGCGTCGGCGATGCATCGGCGATGCGGCGACATTCTCCGACTCCATCTGCTCGGATTGTAACCTTCACCCGCCCGCCCAAAACTGCAACCAACCATGACCTCACCGCCCCTCACACGTTTTATGGCCTCATAAAATGCTCCCCCGAAGGCCCAATGGCAAGGTCCGCATGCAGTTCCACCCCCAATCCGGAGCACCCCTCACACGTTACGTGGCCCCATAAGGTGCTCCACCCAAGGCCCAGTGGCAAGGTCCGCATGCTGTTCCACCCCCATTTCGGCGCACCCCTCGCACGCTTCGCGGATCCATAGGGTGCTCCGCCCAAGGCCCCAGTGGCAGGGTTCGCATGCAGTTCCACCTCCCTCCATTTCGGCGCATCCCTCACGCGTTTCGTGGTCTCATAGGGTGCTCCTCCGAAGGCCCCAGTGGCAGGGTCCGCGTGCAGTTCCACCCCCATTTCGGCGCACCTCTTACACGTTTCGTGGCCGCTTCATGTGTTCCACCAAGTGCCCCGGTGGCAGGGTCCGCATGCAGTTCCTCCCTCCAACTCGGAGCATCCCTCACACGTTACGTGGCCTCATAGAGTGCTCGCCCGAAGGCCCCAGTGGCAGGGTCCGCATGCAGTTCCACCTCAATTTCGACGCACCCCTTGCACGTTTCGCGGCCCCACAGGAGGCTTCGCCGAAGGCCCCAGTGGCAGGGTCCGCATGCAGTTCCACCTCCCTCCATTTCGGCGCACCCCTCACACGTTGCGTGGTCCCATAGGGTGCTCCCCCGAAGGCCCGAGTGGCAGGGTCCGCATGCAGTTCCACACCCATTTCGGCGCACCCCTTACACGTTTCATGACCCCACAATGTGTTCCACCCAGTGCCCCAGTGGCAGGGTCCGCATGCAGTTGCACCCCTGTTTCGGCGCACCGCTCACACGTTTCGTGGCCAGAGTCTGGTCCACCGGAGGACCCAGAGGCAGGGTCCGCATGCACTTCCACCTCCATTTCGGCGCACCCCTCCCACGTTCGGTAGCCCCGTGAGGTGCTCCATCGAAGGCCCCAGTGGCAGGGTCCGTATGCAGTTCCACCTCCCTCCATTTCGGCGCACCCCTCACACGTTTCGTGGCCCCATAGGGTGCTCCCCCGAAGGCCCGAGTGGCAGGGTCCGCATGCAGTTCCACCCCCATTTCGGCGCAACCCTTACACGTTTCGTGGCCCCATCGGGAGCTCCGCCCAAGGCCTCAGTGGCATCGCCCGCACGCGATTCCTCCATTTCGGCGCACCCCTCACACGCTTCGTGGCCTCACATGGGGCTCCACCGACGTCTCCAGTGGCATCGTCCGCATGGCGTGCCCGTGCGAATTTTGGCACACCCGTCACACGCGTCGTGGCCCCAAAGAGAGGTTCACCGAGGACGATACCCATCACTTTTTTTACTCACAATTGCACATGGTTGGGTCCTTCGCCGGCCTTCCGCCGGCCTTCCGCCGGCTTCCGCTGGCGGATGTCGCCTCGTTGTACTTCCGCGGGCTTCCGCCGCCCTTCCGCCGAGGAAAAGATGGCAACTCATTCAATCCTCGAAGGAGAGGCCCTCTCTGAAATGCCTCACTTGTCCTCAAGCTTAGCGCAGTTTCAGGCTCAATCTCAGCTGCCATCGTCCTGGGAGGCGGTGCCGCGGCTCGCAGGCGTGCGAGGTACGCTGCCCTCAAACGAGGACCTGTCGCACACGGTGTGGGACAAACACGACGACGCACTACGACTCGGTAAAACGAAAACAAGTGACAGCTACTTCGATCCTCGAAGGCGAGGCACTTTCTGGAACGCCTCATATGGATATGTTCCTGAATCACCCGCTGAAAATCATCCGAGAACTGACCCCGCCCCGCGCTGTGTAGGGGCCGCCGTCTGCGACCGGGTGGTCTCCTCGTGGTACCGCGCTCCTGTGAGGACATGCGGAGCAGGTTAAACAGGGCAGGAGACGGATGAGAAAGAGCGGCGGGTGCAAGACAAGAGCAGACAAGGAGGCCCGCCACAGTTTCGCTTGAGCACCCGATTCCCTCAGGGCCTGGGCCACTCTGGAAATGCAGCGATGGTGGGGCCCCTCTGCCGCTGCTTTCAGTACAGCCATCGTGCTGCCAGAGAGAACGCAGCATAGGGAACGAAGGGGCGTTGCTGGCCACGGCGAGCCTCGGCCACGAGGCCCCGCTAGAGAACTCTGAGGCAGCGGCTTCCCTCCCGAGCCCGAGTCGGTCCTTTCACTTCAGCGTCTTGGCTGCACCATCGGATCTCAGAACACAACACGAAGTTGTCAAACAAGGCAGCCCCAGCCAGAACTGTTCTAAGAACATGTCGTGCAAACCACAACAGGTTCTTAGAACAGTCTTTGGTGGGCCTATAGGACAGCCAGGAACCTTCGCCACTGCTTGAAGGATGTCCCTCGGGGGACTCCTCGGTGGTCGAGCACCAGGAGGTCGGTCTCGCCCAGCTGGCCGCTGGCGGCCCAGTCTGCTGCCCGACCCACGCGCACGCTCACCTGGAGGGCTCTCTTCTGGGGGGCACGAGACGGGGCCGATGAGTGGTCTCGGCTGCCCCGATACGCAACACGCACCCCGTAGCGCTTGAGCGCGGAACCCAACACGCAGACCAACGCGCAGACCGAAGGCGTAGGTCTGGCGCGCTGCGTTCGCCCAAGACGCCGGCCAGCCAGCACGTTGACAGCCAACGCGCAACGTGTGAGCACGGTCATTCTTGAAGCGGCCAGTGTTTCCAGGGCGGGGCCGTATCCATATACACTGCCTGGGGACCAGACGTCCTGGAACCCCAGCGGGCGGTGGATATGGATATGTGTTGGCTCCGTGGGGCCCAGATGTATCATTACCCACCGCCTGCCGAGGTCTCCGAAGATCGATCCCCCAGGCGGTGGTCACCGATGAATCCCCACCTCGTGGGGCTTCTTGGGCGTCCCGAGAAGCCTCTTGGCCATCCCAAGAGGATTCTGAAGCGTCCCGAAAGGCTTCTTGGGCGTCCCGAGGGGCCTCCTGGGCGTCCCCAGCGGCTTCGTGGGCGTCCCGGAAGTCTTCTTGGGCGCTGCGGCAAACTGTCCGGGCGTCCCGAAAGGCTTCTGGGGCCTCCCGGGAGGCCTCTCGGGCCTCCTCAAAAGCTTCTTGGGCCTGTCAGGGCAACGGAGCGAATCATCTGACGGAGCGGGGTAGGCTGGGGCAGAGAGGCTGCGCGTCCCGCTCGCACGTCCGCTAGCTTCGGTGCTCTACGCTGCCGACGCCCCCCGCCCTCCGCTGAGGGGCAACGATGTGGGGTCACGACGCGTACAGTCGACCCGTATCATAGGGATGTACGATAAGGATGCAAGGGCCTTGGAAGGCCGTTTGGAAGCTTTCCGAGCGGGGCGCGGCCAACGAAAGCGGCCAAGGATTGACCGAGGAGGCAAGGGTGCAAAGGTACCCTTGGGAAGGCTGCCTATCCTTCTGATGTGGGTTGACTGCATAAGGGGGTCTGGTTGAAACTCCTCGCGCTCATCTGCCTCGCGCGCCCCTCTGAAAACCTGGCGGTAAGAAGCAGATAATCACGACCCGAGCCTCGAGCCCGCCTTGCTGCTGCAACGTCTCGGGCCTGAGAGGGGGAACGTTAGGGGGAGGGCCAGATCAGCTGGAGAAACGTCGGCGAAAGGCCTCCGATAGCGAATCCGCACGTTCCTCGGCAAGGTGGGGCTATCGGACCCATATCGTCGTTACTGAGCCTATCCCCCCCTGTCGTTGCCCCTGATCTGCGCCACCCCCCGTGACAGCCCGTTCTGGCCACCCCACGCGCCGCGCGGGACGGCCGAGTCCTGCCTCCCCCCCCCCCCACGGCCCCCCCTCCCTCTTGTCTGGGAAGGCCCGGTCCGCTCTCGGGGAACCGGCAGCTCGGCAGAACCTCCAGGGCCATTGCCCTGGGCGCCGTGAGCAGCCTCCCCGCGGGGCCGGAGCCAGCAGCCAAGCCGACAGTGGGCCACTGCCGTTGCGCACCAGCGGGGAGGGGGCCGGCAGCACCTTTTGGGCGAGGGTGACGATACCAAGGATAGCAACGATAACAGCGACAACGATAACATCGACAAGGACAGCAACGATCACAGTGACCACGACAACGACAATGATAACAACGACAACGGTAACGATGACGACGATCACAACGACAACGACAGCGACAACGCAGCAGAGACGAAGAGCCCAAGAAGGGGCCGAAAAGGGAAGCGGGGTCGCAGTGGCGCAGGGCTGGCCGGCGAGGCGCCGCCAGGCAGGCGGCGCAAGGTGCCCCAATGGTTCGGCGGTGCAGCTCCACCGGAGCTGGTGGGTCCAGCCTGCAGCCTTCACTTTGAGCTCTTATTGACACCCAGTGGAAGTCGGTACCGCAGGTTTGCGTCGTGTCGACCCAGGCGACGGTTTTTGACACCGCGGGAATCGTTCAACCTTGAACGATCGGCCGTTTCCGAAACGCCACATCGTTGAACATCGATCGATTCTGGGACGCCGTCGGTGTTCAACGTTGAACTCCGGCGGCGGGGTCGCCGCTGGTCGACACGACACGAACCTACCGTATCTATATGCTGGCCTCAGTCTCTCCGATCGGGCGGGTGGCAATGGGGTGGGTGACCCACATGGGGGGCGAAGAAACGGGCCCTCAAGGGGCCCTTTAGGGCCCCTTTTGGAGCCAGCTGGTGCAAGGGCTCCTTTTGGGTTTTTTTCTTCACCCCCCATTTGGGTCACCCCCCAATGACCACCCGTCCGATCCGAGGGGGGACAGAAGCGGGGGCGGCATCTGCATGTGCCCGTTAGGCTTAGGTCGGGCATGTCCTCCTACAAGCGGGTGTTGGATGAAGAACAAGCAAAGAACTCAAACATACAACAACACAGTCAAAAACACACGGGAAATTGTCGACCGAATCTTTTCTAACTGTTCGTGAATATTCCTCCTTTAGAAAGGGCATGCCCGACTTCACATTCGGTGACGGGTCCTTGCGGTGGACGCCGCCGCTGCCCTCCAGCAAGCCCAACCTCAGAGGCTCCCGCCGTGACGCCGGTTAACCTTTTCGCGCGAAGACGACGTCGTACCCAAAGGGGCCCAGGGGCACACAGATAAATGGACACAAATCCCAGGATTCCCCCTGTTTGCCCGTATTTTCTGGGTGTTCGTCTTCCCCCCCCATTGCCCATATTCCCTCATAGTTCCCCCGGGGTCGACCATGAATTGTGCCTGTGTGTTTTCTCTCCCTCCTGGGCACAGGCCTCGCAAGACATGCCAACTCTTGACGCTTCGCGTACACCCACAAGCTAATCCAGAAACAATGCCCAGGGAAGTTGTCTGGAGGAGGGGCGCAGGTAAGCATGAAGTGAAGCAAGGAGGCTCACAAGAGAAGTTAGACCTTGGGGACGGGTACACCCAGCCATGATGGGAGGGACGGGTGCTGGCAGAGCTAGTCAATGCGCTAAACCACTTGCGCCCAGAAGGCTGGCGGCATCTGCAACTCGACTCTCGTCTCCTTTCTCCGCCCGTGAACGAGCGCCTGCGAATGAAGAAGGTCCACACTGCTTGGCAGTGTGCGCTCGGTGCGCGCAGCCTTGGGGAGGGAAGACGGGAGGATTGGAGGCGTCCAAGAGGTGAGCGTCCCCGCGGGGGGCTCCTTAACCCATCTGTCGGAAGTAGTAGGTAGAAAAGCATGAAGTAGGACGGCGGACAAAGTAGTTTGGGTTCGGGCAAGCCCAAAGAATGGTAAAACGCAGCAACAGCAGATCGGTTCTCGATGCAGGACGGCGCTTAAAGTAGATTGGGTTCTGGGAGACCGAGAAAAAGAACTACTTTCAACCACCGATGGGTAAACATGTCCCGAAGCATGTGCGCGGATGAGGAGGGGGCCAGGGAACGCATTGAAAGAAGACGGGGGACCATGAGATCCGTGGAGGTATCATGGCCCTGGCCACGAGATCCACCCCCCTCCTAGTCATCACCCACTCTTGGCCGCCCCCGAGGCCAGGGGGAGACGGAGCGGGAGATAGACGGGGAGACGGGGAGACCAGGACGGACCCGAACATCGTCCTCGGCCTCCCGTGCGCGCTGCAAGCTCGCAACCCCGCGAAGCTTGCCGTTATTTCGCCGCGGGCCTCTTGGCAACCTTTGCCGGGGCGCCGTCTTCGGTGACCAGCTGACTCGTCTTCACCGCCTGCATCTTCTCCTTGATGGCTTTTTGCCTCGCCTCTTTCGCATCGAACACGGCCTGGGCCTTCTCCCACGCCGCCTTCATCCTGACGAGCACCACCTTGGCCGCGTCCCGGGCCTTAGCGGCCTGAAGGCCAGGCGGCTTCCAAGCGCCTGGCGCGGACAGGTCCTTCTCGCCCTCCTCGGGGACGTGCTCTCCACTCTCCCGCAGCTCCTTGCACCGCTTCTTGGCCTGCTCGAACGCCTGAGTCGCCCTCTTGTAGGCGTCTGTGGCGGCCTCTGCCTTGCCTCGCGCGGCCGACAGCGCACCCCTCATGCCGTCCAGCCGCTTCTTGGAGGCCTTGAGCGCGGCGTGCGCCCTCGCCTGCTTCGTCGCTGCCCTCGCGGCCTGCTTCTCGCGCTGGGCCTTCTGCTTCGCAGACCTAACCCTCCCCGCGGCCGCTGCCCTCTTGCGCGCGGCCTCCCGCAGGCACTCCAGCTCCTGCTCCGCCTTCTTCGTCGCGTCCTTGTTGGCCTTGAGCTTGGCCATCAGCGCGTCCTTCTCGGCCATCAGCTTGCCGACCACCCTCTGCTGCCTCGCCACCGCCTGCGCGGCGCTCCTGGCCTCCTTGGAGGGGTCCTGCTTGGCGTCCTGCGCGGCCGCGCCCTCCCCCGCGGCCGCGGCCGCGGCCTCGCCCTTGGCGCTGCCCTCGTCCTCTGCCGCGGCTGGCCGCTTCTTCGGCGCCATGGCGGGGCGGAGCCACTCGCAGCCAAAAAAGTGCCCGTTTGAGCCGCAACGGCTGCGGAGGACTTGCAAAACGCACCTTGTTTCTCGCCGTCAGTTGGTTGCAGGCGCTGGCTAACGACCGGTGTCTCCAGCAACTGGCAGAGCTTCACATTGAAGCTTTGGAAGACCTCGTCTGTTCCACCGCGCCAACCATCCGTGTCGCATCCATGTCGAACGCGTCGCATCCGTATCGAATCCGTATCGAGTCCACGTAGAATCTGCATCGAATCCGCATCGAACCCACGTCGGATAATAAAAACACCTGTACAAGACAAGAAGGGCCCCCCACCGAGGATGCACCGTAAAGAAGCTGGCAATGCTGGCAACGATTTCCTCTTGGCGCAACCTCCCCCTTTCGGGGGCGACGATCGAAGCGGAGAGCCCACGGGGAAAAATACATGTATCCTATGGCGCCGACGGACCATGTCTTCGGTGAGGCTCCCGCGCGAATAGCCCAGGGGCGGGCATTACTGATACCCGCCCCTGGGCTACTCGCCCCTATCGTCGTCTCCGACCATTGCGAAGCGGACTCATCCTCCCCCGGCCCAGTCCTCGCTATTGCGCCAGTCGCCGTGCTGGGTGCATCCTGCGCTGCAGGCGAATCAGAGCTCGACAGCAACCTCGGAAAGCACAGGACCAACGCCCCAGTCATGGTCCTCAAGCGACCCGGGGAATGACACGAGCGCCGAATCTCACCAGGCGTCAAAGTCCCGGCCCCCAGGCGTCAAAGTCTGGAACGTTCATCGCGGATCGGTCGAGCGTGAACTAATGGGGGGACGATAATAGGGGGGAAACGTGCACCTTTCGTGCCCCTGTTGGGCCACAGCGCCAGTAGGGCACAAAGGGTGCAGCTTCTCCCCCCGCCTATTTATCGCACTAGCACGAAGCCAAGACGACGACAAATCCGGGTGAGAACTCGAGAAACTCTGAGACCCGGCGACTCTGGAGCAGGTTTCGGGCGCCGCGGCCTTCTCAGAACGGTCCGGAATGCTCTGAGAGCGTTCCGGAACGCTCTGGAACTCGCCATCGCTCGGACGTCCATTCCCCTTGCATGCTTCGTCTCAGTGCGCGCATGTCCTCGCAACATGACCGTGTATGCCATCGCCATCGAGGAGCCTTCAGAAGGCTCCTCGATGGCCCTCGCCGGCAAAAGATGCATACGTGTCCGAGTGATGGATTGCAAAAAAAGGATTGCAAAAAAGGATTGCAAACAAAAATATTGCAAAAAAGGCTTTTTTTTGCAATCTTCGTTCGAGGGAACGGATTTGGCCTCGTCCTGGCCCTGGCCGGCGCACCCCCCCTTTACTCGACGCCCGACTCGCTCTCGCGGACGGCCTCTCGGGCCCCGCAGGCGGCCTCGGGAGGCCGAGGCTAAAACGGCGTGAGGCGGCCTCCGCCCCGGCTCCTCGGGGCCGTCGGAGGCCCGGGGTCCTCCTCCTCCTCCTCCTCCTCCTCCTCCTCCTCCTCCTCCTCCTCCTCCTCCTCCTCTCTCCTCCTCCTCCTCCTCCTCCTCCTCCCCTCCTCCTCCTCCTCCTCCTCCTCCTCCTCTCCTCCTCCTCCTCCTCCTCCTCCTCCCCTCCTCCTCCTCTCCTCCTCCTCCTCCTCCCCCTCCCCCTCCCCCTCCTCCTCCTCCTCCTCCTCCTCCTCCTCCTCCTCCTCCTCCTCCTCCTCCTCCTCCTCCTCCTCCTCCTCCTCCTCCTCCGCCGCCGCCGCCCACAGGGGGCCGATGGCCACACGCCTGCCGAGAGCTGCGGTTCCGCTGGCCCCTTGGGGTGACTCCAGGCTTGCAAGGTTCCCCCCCCCCCCCTTTGCGCCCCAGACCAGAAAAGGACCCCCCCGCCCAGGCCCAGGACGATCCCACCACGAACGCATCATGGGGGGCTTCGGGCTCTTCGACCGTATTTTGGTCGCCCCGGAACGGCTGCAGTGGCACCCACAAACGGTCCAAGAGAGCCCCGAGTCGCCGAAGAACTGGCCCAAGACGCTCAAGATAGGACCCACACGGCCTCCGAACCCGTCGGTACGCCCCAAAACGCCTTCCAAGCGGGCCCCCAGAAGCAAACATCGCCATTACCTTCGGAAGACGTGCGTTCTTACCAGCTGCGTCTCTTGGGCTTTAGCCGCGGTCATGAGGGCCAAGACGGCCAAGGAACTCTCTCAAAATCGACCCAAAACGCCCCACGAGACCTCGAAGAGGGCCCCGAAGCGGTCGAAGAAGGCCCCAGGACTGCCCGGGAAGCCTCCAAAAGCCAAGTCGCTGTGAGAGGGCCCCAGAACAGCCCCAAGAGAGGCCCAAGTCGGGAAACGCGACATGATTAGCGGGGTTTTCGCCTCCAAATGACCCCTAATGCCGCCAGCAAGCGCCCCAGATCCCCCACTACGCCCAAAGAGGCCATCCCCAATGTCCACATACCCACCCATAAGGCTTCCCAAGAGAATCCAAGAAGCATACAAGAGGCCTCTGGCCCACAAACACGGGCGCGGTGGCGGGATGGGCCACGCGCTGTTGGTCCACGACCCAGGCACGGCTGCCTGTCGTTCACGACCTAGGCACGGTTGCGTTTTGCGTCTCAGGGCACTATCACAATTTGTTTCTCCGCTCCACTTCTGTCAGTGTGTTACCTTCTTGGCTTGTCCCCCACCGCGTGTCCCTTCTTTTCTTCCTTTTCCTCCCTCTCGTCGTTATCATCCCCATCGTCGCCATCCTCCCTCCCCGCTCTCTCCGCCCCCTGGTTCTGATTCCACGAATCTCGGTACGTGTAGTGACGTTGCAGATTCGATCTTCCAGATGGTCACCTGAACGGGCACGATTTGCATGAGATGCACTTCGTGGTGTTTGCATGGTCGCGCGCGACGTTGCCCCCCGCCATGGAACACGCAGAGACCAGGAGTTTTTGTTAACACGTGGCAATGCGTCGATACGCTTGCCAGCTGCGCGCTGCGAGCCCGAAGTCCTTGCAATCTGCGCACGCCACGCCAGCTTGATTTGTTTGTTCGATGGTTTTCCACTTCTCCCTTCTTCATATGCTTACTGTCCGAGAAAGCTGCTCCGCACGCCGCGCGCGTCTGTTCGCGTTCCCACAGTTTTGCCGCTACGGCCACTCGATTCGCAAACGCCTCCAATGTGTCACATGGTCCGCGCAACACCATGGCTCCTGCGTTCCTCCGATGGTCCTCGACATGGCGCCAGCTCTGATGACCAATTTCCCAGAAAGTCCCGCCGCGTACTGGCGCGAAGTACTTCAGCGACTCCGCTTGCGCCTCCATATCCCTCTTGCGATTCGTTTTCTCTCCGCTCGCTCGCGTTGCCGCGTTGCTTTTTTGTGTTGCTCTCTCTCTCTCTCTCTCTCGCGTGCTCACTCCAGCGCGCATCCCCGACTGGGCCATTCCCTGGCTGTATCATGCATCCCGTGCGCCTCCGTCATTTCCGCTTCTGTTCGACTGCCGTCGTGCGCCTGTCGTTCGAACAACAGACTGCGCTTGCGCTCTCGTTCCACGCTGCGCTGCCACTGCGCGATTTACAATTCGCTTTGTCATAGCTGCACTTCGCGCAACGCATGGTGCGAATCGTTCTCGGCTCCTCGTCGTCGCCCGCTCCCTCGCCGACATGCCCGCCTCGGCGCCGCGCCGGTCCATCGCCCTCCGCTTTTCCTGCGCATGCTTTGCGCGTCTCGCGACGTTTCTTGTCGGCGCTTTCCATATCCGCCGTGCATTCGCTGAACGCCCGACGCTGGCTTCTCCATATGCCCGTTTAAGAACCATTGGCGATTTTTTGACGGGAGAAGGTGCGGCCGTGCCTGCCGCTAGCGGGGGCCACCCAGCCAAGTTCGCGCGCCCCTTGTCGCGGTTGCAAAACCACCTTATTTCATCCTCTACCGTATCTGACCGTCTCTGTTATCCTCCATGGCGCGCGCGATCTCTCGCTGCGACCCGCAGCAACTGCCGCCGGCGCCCCCTCGCTCACTGCGCCGCCCTCTGCTTCCCGACGTCGCACGGGATGTCCTAATCGGCGTAGATCGCGACATCATCAGCATTTATTTACGAAACCGCGCGTCATCTGGCGAAGTCGCTCCACCGTATCACGACCCCGCTGCATCCTGCGCACCTCGCGCTGTAGCCCTGTATTTTTAAAATCGCTTCTGCGTTCTCTGGACAGCGCGCGTCTCCGCGCCGCACTGCGCTGTTCGCCCAAGACCCCGGCGAGCCCGTCGGCCCGCGAGTACTGCCGGCGCGTTCAGGCAGCGCTGAGATCGAAGTGCGCAGCCGAGGACGCCCACTTACTGACTTCAAGTCCTGCGACGCCCTACGCAAGAGGCAGCAAGGCCAGAAAACCAAATCAATCAGAGCAGCCACGCCACGCCACAGAGGCTCGAACACCACGCCCAGACGCCCAAGGAACTACTACTACTACTACTACTACTACTACTACTACTACTACTACTACTACTAACTACTACTACTACTACTACTACTACTACTACTACTACTACTACTACTACTACTACTACTACTACTACTACTACCACTACTACCACTACTACCACTACCACTACTACTACTACTACTACTACTACTACTACTACTACTACTACTACCACTACTACTACCACTACGACTACGACTACGACTACGACTACGACTACGACTACTACTACTACTACTACTACTACTACTACTACTACTACAGAGGAAACGACTGAAACCGGGACGTTATCCAAAACTTAATTCTGGAGTTAAGTCGGCCAAACTCCGGGGTAAAGGCCACCTCGCGGAAAACTTTACTCTGGAGTTAAGTCGCCACAAAGCTGGCGGACGCACCAGCTATTACACGAATTAACTCCGGAGTTAAGTGATTCCCACGCCGCGCGGCCCAGCCAGGCACAGACTTAACTGCGGAGTTAAGTCGCAACGGCATTGGGTTGGGTGCCGCGACGATTGAGAGGACAGGAAGTGAAAGAGGA